TATATATGATTCTAACTTTCGAATTTTATTTACAGGCTTAGTTATTTTATTTTAGGTTGAAAGATGCATAATTATTATCTATGGCCTTCCGCCACCTGGAGGGTAACGGTTTTGTTATCCCGCTGTAGATATGTACATTATAGGAGTTTATGAACTCTCAAAAGACAATTTGAACATCACACTGAACATTTATCGAGATTAATGTATGTGGCAGATGACAGAGAGATTCTTCCTGTAACTTTTTCATCATCTCTTGCAGTTATTGACAGTACACGTCGTCCTTGATCGACAAACCAGAACTTGTGAAGGTGTGGTGGAAAATAGTTGCATTAGACCATCAAAAAAAATCCACAAACGTTCGCAATTGTTTTAGGTCGACGTACCGCCGATCTAATTATATCTACCCAGTAATGTCACCATCGACAATTATCGCAGAAAATCAATTTTTGAGCACAGGCCACAATTTAGTACAATAATATGTCACTGTTACAGCGTGGCAGCAAAAAGAAGCAAGCGTTTTTGCGTTTCTGTTTTTGATCCTCCCTCAAATCATCATAAGTATCAATTTGTCCAACATTTTACCTTGTTAATCCAACTGAGGATAGCATTTATATATATATATACTTCCACAGACATTTTAATGTTACAATGGCATTAAATTCTATCCTCTATAACTTTTTATATTATATATAATATATATGATATTTTAATTATATTTCCCAAGTTGAGATCTGAAATGATTATAAATATAATAAGGTAAGAAGGCGGCAGTCAAAAAATTGCCTGATATAGCCTTGATTATGATCAAGAATGACACGTCGTTGTAGCTGGATTAATTACTGGAGGGTTGCGTGGGCAATCATCAGCACCAAGTTTGTCCAGTACCCAAAATACATCGAGCGGACGCCGTTTCTTGCGGAATAATATTTGTTGTTGGACATACCTTATACGACCAGCCCCGAAATAAAAAGCCAAAGTAATACACTTGGTAAAGCAAGCGCAGCTGGTGGAGACAAACCTGAATAGTGTGTAGCAACGATGATGGTCGAGAAGTTTCGGTAACGGCTGCGTCAGTGGCGGAAAAATGGAAAAGCGTCTCGTCCCGTTTTCAACCTGATGTCGTCTTTGTCGACAGCAGATTCCAGCTGCCGACAAACGCCGGTCGACGAACGGTGAATCATAAAGACGCCAGGGCTGCGACCGGCGTCGCACAAATGGCAAGAAAGATCCGACTCCCCAAGCTGTCGCCGCTGCTATTTGCACCGAATCCTCTCTTCTGTCGGAAAAGCTTGCACCTGTTCGCTGTGGGCTCTCCCTCGACTCCTCCAACTGTTCATACGTGTGTTTGTCTTTTGTGGCCACTGTTCATGGGGGTTCGCTTTGTTGCGTGTGCGTATCGCACTATATGAGAAAAATTTCACCCTTTCATATGCCTACTGCATATGCTGTGTGCATTGTTGCCCAGTCATGCTGTGCTGCTGCGTTATCCTTTTGCCCGCTTTCTCTTTCTCTTGCCTTGGGATTCTCTAGAAACTCTCAGGTCAAAAACAGAGTCATCGTTGGGGAGTCAGCAGGGAAATATATTCGTGACCGCTGTGACGGCGTTGATTACTCTTTCGTCAGTCAACGAGTACCATGGTAAAAGCCAAGCTCTTCGTAAGCGGTTTGCGCTTGTCAAACGGTCGCACAATTCCACCGACCAGGAGCAGAATGGGAGAATCGTGCCGACCCCATGAAAGACCACAAATACGGTCAATGTAAATGTGAGATAGGATGTCTCTATCTAGAGAATGTCTCGGGCCCCGATGTAACGATTGAATTGTATGCGCACCTAGACAAACATTACGCATGAGATGAACTTGTGTGGTATTGAGCATCCAGAAAGCCATTAGTAACAGATGAGGAAACGATAAAAAGAAGTTACTTCGGGATATTTGAAAAAATGCCGGTAATAGTTCAAATGTAGAAATGAAAAGGATTAGGCATGTACATATTTTCAATTTATAGATCTTAAATGTATACATAGTGCAATCCAAGGAATGCAAACTGATTGCAACTGAATTTAGCTACGCATACGATTACTTGGATGTAGACTGTCGCTGTTGTGGCTCAGCAAGAGTTATATTTAGTGTACCGCTAGATACCTATTTTTAGGCGGCCCATTTTTCCAGCAAGACTGCTGAAAGCCGATTATAGTAAATAAAACAAAGAACAAAAAAGAAAAACATTCGTTTTAATATTTGTTGTGAACGGCTGTTTTGACCAAGGACTGACCATCTTGGCAGGCAATTTTCAATTCAGACAAAAAAAATTAGCAGCTACTCACGCAAGCTACTGCATTTAGCAGTGGTTCGACAGCCCTGCGCGTTAGCTCTAGAAAGATCTGACTGTTTGGTTCACACGCTAGTGCCGTATATGTGGGTTGTCTTGGTTTTTATGTTACGCACCAATGTCGTAAACCCAGTAACCGAGAGAAGAAAATATCTGTGAGGTTTTTCTTCATTCCAATGTCGTTTCAACTGTAAAGCTATCTTTCTGGACCCGTTTAACCCAATTCGTTTCATAGGATGTAGACAGTCGGTCATACTGTGATGCGTACCTCAACGTATGGAAATCCATGTGCTCCGCTCCTCATTATTGTATTATCGGTATCATGTACGTGATTTCATCTCATTTTTTCTGGAGCCGACTGAGGAATGCTTTGCCCATATACTAACCCATGTAAACTTCCTACTTGAACCAATATCAAACAGAGTAATCGAACAACAACGATATGCGCGTGGTCACAGTTGTTGCTCGTATCATATACTCCAGGTATCGTTATTGATGTCATCGAAAACGCAAAGATGCGTTGGTGTATAGCAGTTCTGACTTTGTCATGATTAGGCTGGCCAAAGTCAGCCCACTTACTGAGACCATTTGTGCACCTCAGGGGCTGTCTTACATAAGTAACTCTTAAAAATATCATTTATTGGTATTTAGTGGTGAAAAAAATTCGCTAAGAACAATTGCACTTGGCGCGACATCAATTTGACTGTACGTTAGAAAGCACTGCTTGGATGACGAGCACCATGAAATAAATGCCTCTTGTGAAGAAAATGATATTGAATGGACGTAGCCGGTTGCCGCGTCCGACTGTTGGCGCCAAAAGTTTAGCGACCGACCTCCAAAATGTCTTGAAATGTGAAATCCGGCTTCTGTATAAAGTTACCGAAATTTACGGCACGTGGCAAGTTCCCAAATTTTGCTTCAGTACGGAATTAAAGTCCCTCACTCTACAGATAGTATTAACAGATAATGCAATAACGTCGCAACATTAAGACGATCTGCTTCTGTATTTATAGAACTTCTGCAATGTTTATAAATGCATTTATTTACTCGGCCTACTCCTGCTTGGTGCCGCACATTAATAGTAACATTCTTAAATTACAAAAATTGATGGTTTATCTTCCTCTATCGTCAACTATTGTTGTTATCCTCACCTAATTAATATAATGAAAGATACTTTATTTTGGACCTTCTAGAGCAAAGTGGATCGTTTTTAAAGTACGACCCATTTTTACAAGACATGAAGCTTCAAATATGCTATCACACCACTACATCATGTGTTTTACGAGGAGAATGCAGAGCACGCTTGACACGTATATCTAAAATAAACTCATTTTGTTTTTCATGTATTAATCACGTAGACAGAAACCATCTTCTTCCTTACGCTTTTAGGAACAACATGTTCTACTCAGAAATATTGAATAATTATATGGTAGGTGCCTCTTTCAGGTTAGTTTGGCTAAACATCCATTCAATTTAAGGTACTATTAAGACAGAACGTATAAAGATGCCGGAAAGACGATTTACGTGTTACTGTAAGCATAATATATCGTCAGTAATCACTTATATACATTAGAGTCGTCACTTCTGCATATATATATATATATACCCATGTGCCATATATACTCTTCGGCATCTTGTTGTATCTTGCGTAATCTACCTTAACGTACAAAATATCATAGCGGCATCTTCTCAATTTAATTGGTCTTAATTAAAGCTAACAGCTCTAAAAATCTATCGGCATTATACAGGCCTGCAGTTATTTTCATCATCTATTTAGATAGCTTTCTGCATTATTGTTATTGCTTATTCTAGACTTTCTAGATCCGTTGGCGAAAGTCGACATCCGGAATTTAGAAAGACATCATATCGATTTCTTATCCCATTCTAATCAGGGTCCTTTCATTGCAACAATATTTTTTTTACTTGAGTTATTGATGAACAATAATCTTTCAACAATCACGTGATCAGTGCTGAATACAAAAGCGATGTCCGCTAGTTTGGCTAAAAACCTTTCAATCGTTGAAATTTTTATAGATTGGCAAGGTAAAGAAGTTGGTTTTGTGACCGAAGACAATGGAGGACGTAATCGCATTTAAATGTATAAAATTTTTCACTAAATTTTGCAGACATACATAGATAACTTTCGTTAGATGTCTTCATGCTAATAAAGAGTAACATTAGTAATCATGATATGAGTAACAGCCGTAATAATCATTCGATGAGCACATGTACACAAATCTGGGCTATATCGTTTCTTCAAGGACTATAACGCACATATTTGCTCATGTTAACGCTCCTGGTAATATAGCGACGTTATCACCCTCCGCTGCTGAACGATGGCCGACTCTTCGTTACACACACATGGGCCACTGATGGAAGTGAACATATTTATATATATGTATGTATAAATATATATGCGTAATATGCCTTGCGTTTATAGAATGGCGTACTTACAGCCTATTCACTGTTATGCATCCTTAAAGGTTGCTGGGGTCTAGTGTGAAGGGGAGCAAGCCATTTTGTGCTCGGGTAACACTGATGCAGACAGGCCAATGACGGTAGTTTAATCACGTCACGCCATAAGGTCACACGTGATATATAGCTTCTTCGTCTCCCGAGACTGGGAAACTCGTTGTTAACGAAAGTGAGAACTAGCAGTGGCCTTTCATTGTGTTAACGTTTTACTATAGCTCCATTACCTTTTTCGTCTTTCCAATATTATTATCATGTACACTTGCCGGGTGTTCTCCCCGACTTTCGAATTGTCCTTCGCTCCATCTTCATTTCTGTATTAGCAGCCGCCTAGTGCTTCTGCAGCGGAATCACACGCACCAGTTTTCTTAGATCCTGACGGGTCAGCACAGACTACGCCAATCACCAGTGGTAAGCTGGAGACCATACGCAAGAAGCACTGGACGACCACAAAGTTTTTCCTGCCGATGTGACCATTGGTCTGACCCTGTATCAGCACTAACAGCATCTACATAGCGTTTATGTATAGATGGCAACGGTCGCGATGGCCGCCACCGCGACGACTCGGCCCAGTACAAGCTGACGCGGAATCAGCAGGACCAGCTGAAAATCCAGCTGTCGTGCGACGGTGGCTTACGCATCACGACTCAATTGCTGGCCAGCGTCATCGTTCTTCAGGCGGCGGCGAATTTCGTCCGTAACGGCAGCAGCAGCCGCCGCTGCTGATCGCTAAGCCGGAATATTTCCAATAGACTTATCAGTAATGCATCTATACAGCAGCTTCGACTCTTTGCAATTTGGGCGATTAGGTGACGATGTCACACGCGCAACAATGAGTTATTATTGCTTCTATCAAAATCCTTTACGCAGAGGCGTCTATAGAATAAATAGGGTTACTAAATTTTGTAGTCACAATATGTAATAATGTCGATTACAAAATGTTACGAGCTCTTCGAAAGGCTATATGCGTTATTCTTGCATGAAAGAGGTTAGCAAAACGTAACCGCATTAGAAAGACACAATGGTACCGCTTAGTTTTTTAGTAGAGCTGGATTCCACTAATTATCACTTCTACGAAATTCTTATACACGGAAAATTGTACCCAAAAATTATCCAAAATAATAATAATAATGTACCTCATTTGACGAAAAACCGAAAATGTCAAACAGCAGTGCAAATGTCAAATAATCGGTGCTCAAAGAGTAATGCGGTGGACGAACACAACCATAACACTGGCCCGGCTTCACTCCCAAGTTCATTTATGTTACTTGCCAAAAAACGTGGTAAAGGAAGATGGGAAGAAAGAACTATATGGAACTATGGTTTGATCAAATGTTGTAGCCAATTTAGCTTAAACAATTGAGCACACTAAACTTCAGGTGACAAACTTGATTGTGCCTGATTTTTATGTCTTTTTCAAGCAACTTACGCTATTGTGTTACAAGTAACTTGCTTATTTTCATTTTAATGACTCTGGCTCTAAGAAAGACCACCAGCTGATCAATATCCGTAACAGATCAACAACGTTACAGTTACCACAAGCGCTTTGAGGTCTTACGCCACCTTTCTATTATCGAACACACCCGTTCCGTTGATAATTAATGATGCAAGAAGATCTTGAGTGGTTGTAGACGGAAGAAGACTATACCTAATCGTATTTATCTATATCATACCGACATTTTTATCACAGCATTTAGAAACTGGCCAAGGTAAACGCTACGGCTGGCAGTGGCAAGCAATGACAGGTAAAACTGTACACATTGCATCTTGAAAGCAAAAAAACTGTGTTTCTCAAGGTGATCATTGTGAATGAGTTTATTTCCGTGATTTTTTTTTATTGTTATTTGTTTGTTTTCATACACAGCACAGCAATATTCAAATCCTAGAAGCAAACCAGGCAACCAAACTACTGATCCTATAATATATCAGGCTTGTAATTACAAGTGAGTAAAAGACGCAACAGGGTTACAGGAGCTTCCTGATACGAGTCGGCTAAGCAGTAAACAGAATTGTCGCTATGTATTAATGTGATCTAACAGGGGCAAAACGTAGAAGTACCATTCTCGTTTTTACTGTCGCCGATCGTTTAGCCACGATAATCGTCCGGGGGCTGTAACTATGCTATACACACCATTACATCCTAGTCTTTAGCCGAAAGTCCAATGCTGCCGACCGCTTACATAGATTATATCATCTTTAGTAAAATAGTGGTAAATGGTCCTTTATAGTAACCATAAATTAATTCATTATCAACTGCATACCAGCGTGTCCCCACGCACGTGAATAGACGACAGAGTTCCTCCCTAGAAATTTGGATCTATTGATGCCTGTGCTTTTCTGCTGCTTGTAAACCGGCTGCTTTATATATATATATATATATATATATATATGCATATTGCAACTATAGCTAAAACTACTTAAGTATGTATTAAACTTAATGAATACGATATGTAAGTTCAAATTAGTGAAGCCAGTATTTCCTGAAGAGTTGCGTGGAATATGGTTTCTTAGATGATTCGCAAAATCGTATTGAACATATGTACGTTTCCGATAATATTATAGCATAATCGCGCTGGCAAAGTGTTTGGTAGCCAGCTTAGTTATCTATGTCGAAACCCTGTCTTCAATGTGAGGTAACGTATATACACGTGCACGTTCGTTTATACCCGACAACATTGAGCCAATAGCCATAAACAATAGCAATCAATAATCCAACATATCGACGGCCAAAAACACGGATGAACTAACGGCCGAGCGCCGGTTGACAGGGCGGCAGCAGCGACTCAACAATCGAAATATAAGCGTACAAAAATTTGCTCGCAATTCCGACCGGCGGAGTCATCTCCATTCTCGCCATCTTTAATGATGCGTTTTCGAGCTCTGGCGCTAAACGCCATCGCGTCTATCCAGTTTCAACTGCGGAAGGCTGGCTGACTGACAGAGCGATGTTATTGCCCTATATTTCATGCCCGTTCAAGCAACGTAGACAGTCAACTGGCGAAAACCATAGAATATCGACGGTACACAAATACCGCTGTTGTTGCTAAGCGCATACTAGAAATGACTTCATCACATGTTGAAATTCTGCCGAGTTCTAGAGGCGAATGAATACGAATCGATACTATTGCGAACTCTACTGGCATACGTAATCATTTAGCACTACCGATATGATGATACCACTGCAGCTATTCGTTCATATACTTTCCTGTTGCACAGTCGAGCGATTAGTCTTCTGGAAGTATGATCCGTAATTGTCTTCACAACAGAACGATCACGAACACGTTTGACGATCAATACACTACCGAGAAAATACTCGAACTGCGACAATCTCACTGCTTGCCGCCGTCTAACGAAAACACTCGTCGAATACGCACTGCACCTCACTCTATTGAACTTTCTCAGCTGTGTCAAGAGAAACTAGCACCATAGGGACGCCGACTTTAAGAGCTGTGTCCTGCGTGCGTTTGAAAAGTATCACACCACTAACGTAGCCGGAGCAGCAGTACCGCATCACCCACTCCTTCTGTTAACACCCACAAAACACTACTCGCTTCTTATCTCGGCAATGACGAGCTGTCGTCGTCGTCATCGTCATCGTAATACGTTCAGCTATGGTAAATATATTAATGCCCTTGCCAACCATGAATTCGTTGTGGAAAGTTGTTATGTGAGATTTGCGTCTTTACGTTCCGGATAGAGTTTGTTTCGTAATATGTATTACTGTCAATGTGTTACTTGTTGGTGGACGTCGCCGTCATCCGGAGCATCGGTGCTAGCAATGGCAAATGAAAACCTCATCTTAAATTTTTATCGATACTACTCTGCCACAAATGAGGATACCGTTGGCAACTCTATCTGTATGCGGTAGCTGCTTCAACATCTGCAGTGGTAACAGCAGTAGTAGCATCGTCACAGTTGGCATCTATCAACTAACTCCTGTTCCTTATAAACATGACTTCGCTGGCAAGCGGGTAGGCAGGCAGGCACGCAGATGGATAAGTAAAGCGTCGGTACATGAACGAGATGAGCAACATTGGCGCGACGAGACATTTCTCACTAAATCAAGTTGAAGGAAAAATAGCTCTCGCTGAAACACGGTACAGCAAACGTGTTAGTAGTGCAAAGATTACGGTTGTTACTATAACGATGAGGTCATCGGGTATCTCTGTATTCACACACACCCTCGTTTGTATTAGCATTTATACGGGCAACGAAATGGCCTCGGCCTGCTATTTAGAGATCACTTATTGAGAGAAGGCAGAAATAATACGTTGGTTTATGTTAGTAATGAGTGCTGCTCTCACACAAAGCGCTGACTAACTGATTGGCTAGTAAAAGGTCACCAGTATGCAAACGTTCTAGCTGACCCCATACACTCGCTCACACTTCTACAAAAAAACTGCACTAACTTTAATGTCTGTCGGGCTTCTTCTTCTTCTATTACCACTTCGTCTGTTACTACTAGAACAGTTCCACTTCCCTCGCTGGTGTCGCTGTTGCGGCGTTAGCCACCGCCGTTAGCAGCGTATGAGCCTAAGTCACTTTACGCAGCAAAGGCGACTACGATGGCCATAACAGGAGAAGACCCAAACAGAAGGAAGAGCCAACAATAGTGAGCGCCTACAGATGGTTGCTGCAGATTCTAACAAAACAAGCGATTACTTACTCGCTCACTGTTATGTGCGCCGCCTGCTCGCCTGGCGCGGTTAAACTTAAAAGTCACAGATTCAGCGCTAGCAGACCGACTAAGCAACGGGCACTTTAACATGCTTGTTCATTGCAACAAAACAGCCCAACTATCTTTGCTAGGCAACAATGGCCCAGCCAAATTCGTGGTGGTAGCAGAGATGGAATCTGGATAAGCGGACGAAAATCGACCCAGCCACAAACGATAAGCGGAGTGCCCAGGCTAAGCAAATGCGCCGGAGCCGACGAAACTGTAGACGCCAACGAACGATAAGCAATGGCTAGAAAAAGGACGATGATGGGCGCTAGCTCTGCAAGAGTCATAGCAGACGCAGCAGCAGAGATGACAGATGAAAACGTCAGCGGTGCTCACCAGCTAACCCCTTCTCCATTTCATAGAGGTCGTAGTGGTACAGCACGTTATGGTGCTCTATCTTTCGCTTGCGGTATCGCTCGTTCTCTTTCCCGTTTGCTGCCACTGCTGTCACTTTCTGGCGCTCACTGCAGCAGCAGTAGCAGCAGCAAAACCCGCCCTCCGCCAACGTACACACCCGCACGGACGATCCGATCATGCCGATTGTTCGTTTGACGCTCGCGACAACATCAATCGACGGAAAAAACTCCGGCGGAATGATACATTGCCATGTTCACGCGGAGGTCTTTTGCCAGCATTAACGGCAAGCAATAGCTAATGCATTTACCGCGCAGACTACAGCATCGTAGGTGTCGTCGTAGTGCCAGCAGCACGAAGACGAGCAATGAGCAGGTGAAGAAAGCCCTTATATATATATATTACAAAAATAAACATCGAATGGATGCAGAGTGTAATTCAAAAACTTTTGCTAAGCGCACGCGCACCAGATGAATTGGTGTGAACGTATACCATATCAAAGTAGTTGTTATAATAGTATAAGTAACTGTTGAAAAATATGGAAGACGTACGTCTCACGACAGAGGATCGAATACAGTTGGTTGATAGATAATGTCTTTGAACGATGGTGGCGTTCGTAGAAATTTGCTAGTATTATTACTATTATTTCTGAATGTGTGCGTGACGTGTGTGGACAGCTCTGGAACGAACAAAAGGGCCCAACATCTGATTAGCTGCTTCTTTGGCTGTGATTGGGTGGGTAGCGGCTTGCCAGGCTGGCAAGTAATAGGGCAGGTTGACGTAGTAGAACGCCGGACCGGGTCGTGCCGCTCGCCATCGTCAACAAGAATCAAACGGTGGTAGAGCAGAAGACATCCTCGCTGCACTTCTCCAGCCCTAATATTTATGTGAGAGCATATCTGCAGGAGAGTCGCGCTGGGAAGCAGTAGTTGTTAATAGTTGCAGTTAGCGCTGCTGGTGAAGCCGTTTCAGCTGCTCGAGACTCCAGGTGAGATTGAGAACGCGTTGGCACGCTTGCTAAGCAGATTAAGCAATGTTGGCTATCAGTGAATGAACAAGTAGAGTTAAGCAGTGGCATCTGTTGTGTCTGCGCTAGGGCCGAGCTCTACCACGCGGATAGATGCACATCATGCAATTCTGAGGGGTTCAGGAAGTCTGCATAGTCGTTGAATTGTGCGTGTTGCTCCTTTCGCTATTTCGCTTGTTACTGCTCTGGCTGAATGTGTATTGAAATCGGATGTGGAAGTTACTATGTTCGATTTTTTGTTACCACTGTTTATAGTGTAATGCGACGATTGAGTGACGTGTGCGCCTTGTGCATGACCTAGAAGTTTGACAGATAAGGTAAACACATGGCCGGTAGAATGAATACTGACTCTCAAAGTTGATATTGTCGCTCGCCTTTCTGTGTATGTATTTGCGTATAGGCACTCGTATACCTTTCAGACTATATATATATTGTTAAAACGAACAGCATAACTTCCACGATGTGACTGTCATGTGCAGATATAAACAGATTTGCTAATGCGATCTTGGTGAACGATAAAAGCAGTGGGCTTTTAATGTCTATGCTAGAGCGCCGTGGGCAAACCGAGGCTCGTCGTGAAGCAGCAGAACACATTCACGTCTGGAGCACGAACACGCTCTACTTGTCGCATATAAAGCATGCGCTGAAAAGATATTATTGACGTGTAGTTTGATAACATACCAAATCGTCTTTTTCGGTTACCAAATACCATTTCCGCCTATACTGTCCCTACAAATGATAGAACTCGTATTTTGCTGTGCTTTACTAAAACATACGATAAAAAGCTAACTGTGTACCCAGATACTATAAGAAACAACATTAATTATGTTGAGGTTTCGCCCACTGTTATTAAATCAAATGGTCCATTTTATAGCCCTATACTTTGTTCAGTTTATTGAAGTCCTTTATTGGAAATCCCCTCATATAATTAATTACTCCATCTTCTTTAAGAAGGAAAATGTGTTAGCGAAAATACGTTCTTGAGATAGTATGTTACAAAGGTCGTATAGATACGCAACCGCACCTAGGAAGGGGTAGTCGACATGTCGTTACCTCACTTATATCTGATGAAAATATGCTGCTTATAAATCTATATTTTTTCTTAGTACAATTATGTCCGAAACACAAGATTTTCTCGTTCCTTTTGTTAGCTAACTACAGAAAGTACCAAGCAGTGTAATCCTGTAAAAATTACAGATACAAAAATCAATCCCATTTATAGAGCCGAATGCCCCGTGTGTATGTGTTATTCGAAACGTTGTTCATCATACCACGTTATTCGGGCTGAAGACTTGTATTTTTATTTCATATAACTTTTTGCCAATAAAACCCTGAAACCAGTATCTGAAGAAAACAAAACACACTAAAATGATGGCAAAATGTGCAAAATTGACAGATAACAAATCGAGATACGGAATTGCTGTTTCACCTTGAGCTGGTTAGCGAAGAACTATTGCAGCGAGTATATGAATATGCAATTATTATAAATTATTTATATCTGTTCCAAAAATGTTCCTGTCTTGTCATGACAACAAACAACTTTTATTGTTTGCATTTAGATATTCGGCCACAAGACATTCTAGAGCTCTGTGAATTTTGAAAGTGCATTGAGTGAATGAAGTCAAATAATTGTTATGCGGCTCATTTATTTGGTTACTGTTACAGAGTACTAGTGTTGGTCCTTGGATGTCGTGATGTCCTCAGAAGTAGGCAGCGCCAGTGGTGGCGGCCGCGCAGAAGATAATTCCTCCGTGGAGGTGGCCGCTTCACCCCTTCAAGGAGGTAATCTTCAGCCCCAACCTAAAAGTGACGAACATATGAAATCTAATGGACGTAGCGGGAGCCAAGTGGGCAAGACGGGTCCCCAGTCCGATTTTGTTGAGAACGCAACGGTGGACGAACTTAACGCAGAAATTGGAGGCGAAGTGAAGCATATATTGCGAGCTAAACAGTACCATGAAAGCCTACAAGCTAAGAAGAAAAGTTTACAATTGAAGGTGCGTTAAACGAATAAGGTCATAGGGTTCTATCCCATTGTCAAACGCATGACCCCGTAAGAATACTGATCTTAATCAAACTTTACTTTAAAGTGAGACAACAACCACTGTGCTATTCGTGTTCTCTGTTCGAAAATGTACATCATTTATTTAAGTACTTTTTATTTTTTTTTTTTTTAAGAAATAAGAAACATATGCATTATTTTTCAGATGCAACAAGCGAAATCAAATGGCCAAGCAGATCCCGAGCAGGTGAAAGGGCTTTTAAATTTTGCGCGTGATTCACTGTCTAAGATGGAACTGCTGGAAGATGTACACTGTCGGATCCTCAGCGACGTTTCTTCACACCTTGAAAATGCCACTCAAGTAGGAACAAGTGGACTAATTGATTCAAATGTGGATGCAGCCCTAAATTAACTACTATCGGTCAATATGACCGTTTCCAAATTTTTTAAAAGTTCACGTAATGTTAGAAGTTATCTCATCGCCACCGAATTTCACACTATCAAATTTCTCCGTTTAATTATAAAAATAATAACTCAATCGATAATTCCGACCGAGCTCGATACTAATAGGTATATAAAAATTTTTGGTAGGTCTCGTGTTGAACATATTTTAATGTGAGAACTAATAAACAGTATTCTGTAAAGTGTATTTAAAGATGTATTTATTTAGTACAGCGTTTTGGTATGTCACTGATTTTTCTACCTAATTGGCTGCAGGAAAGTTATAAAATGGATTGTTTTGCCTACATGCACACATTTACGTAACTACTAACTATGTCAATTCATTGGCTTCTTTCCAAAACGCGAAATGATTATTGCTTATACTTCAATCCGCAGGTAAAGAAGGAGTTTGACACTTCGCTAGCTGATATCCAGCGACTTCTCCGCCTTCGACAGTACCTACAATGGATTGCCAAAATAGGAGATATCAGGTATCGTCTTATATCATCTTATATCTTATCATTAATATATTACAGTTATATTTTCCACTTGAAGCTCACAGGTAGCTATGCTTATGCCGATGCTAAACAAGTAATTTTCTTAGCTTAGATTTAGATCATTAGACCATTTCGAATACTTGTCGATATCCCGAACACGTCACATCTCTCTAATTGTGCCAAAGAATTTAGCGAAATTTAAATATGTATCTAAGCTATACTATTGCTTTCAGTCAATATATTGAGGAAGCAGTTGAAAGCGGCGATGACAGGTCGGCAGTCGCACACCTGGCATTGCTTGTTGATACCTGGTTAAAACTCAAGACATCTCAGTGCCACCGACTAATGACTTTCCTCAAGCAGACCATTCTCTACTGGCACAACATACTCAGGGAAAAGTTTGAAAAGTAAGCACACTTCAATTCGCTATTCGAGTCAAAACATAAGGTCGGCTCTTTTTCATTGTAATACAGCTAGTACTCATGTCGGGCTGGTCTCTTAAAATGAGCCCCCATGATAGCTTAGTGGGTAACGTATCTGCCTGTCAATCTTAGGGATATGTTGTGGTTTAGGTTTGAACATGTTTCGTCCTGAAAGCCAGCCGCCCGATGGAATGTCTAACGGCGTTACCGAACGTAGAACTCGAAACATATAAGGTTTCTTATAATGAAATACGGCATAAGCTTCTGTAAACTGCTTAGTTGATATGATGTGTTAAAGTAGCATGTTGTTGTGATAAATCCTAACTTAAACTTCTACCAAATTGTGTGAAGTATCCAACTCATCAGGAATGACCAGCTTTCGTTTTTGGAAACTGCAGTGGTTTTACTTCCGTTTCTTGAAATCTATGTATTAATCTCTCCTCTTTAAATAATTACTTTCAGCATACAGGTCTGAGTTCGCTTCGCGTTCACGATGTTCCTAAAGGATTTATTTTCGGCGATTATCAAATCTAACTTGTACATACGCTATTTTCACTGTGATCTATGCCACCAATAGGGAGTTCGATAAAGTTTTGTCATCAATGGGCTGGCCTGTTATCAACTCCTCTGTAGCCGCCACCCTGTCCTGCCCTCCACAAATGTTCGCCTGCTTCGAGTCAGCCTTCCTCAACCTTTACAAGATACAGCTGCCTCATGAGCTCCTCCTGCAAGAAAAACTAGCAACATCCAGCAGCTGTGGCACACTTTTGCTACCCATTGAACTGATGGTGAAGCCACTCAAAAAACGGTTTCTTTTCCATTTTGTCAGCAAACGACAAACGAATCGGGTCGACAAACCTGAATGGTATCTCACACAGACCCTCACCTGGATCCAGGATCATGCCGTGTGAGTATCAGATGTATTTGCCAAACAGTGGGTAACAAACCATAGGAAGGTTCAAGAACAAGCTTGTTCATGCCAATCACCACGACTGGCTTTAACCCGCAACTTAGTATTTCTTGACTATTGAAGAAATTATTCAGTTGTAGCATAACTGCTCTTGCGGACCTTACCAATTTCCCCAAACTATAAATCAAAGTAATCAGTGTACTCCAGAAAATCAATCGCATGCCATCTAAACATAATAATAATGGCCTATTTTCCTTGTAAACTATCTTGCAGGTTCTGTGAAAAGTTTGTTCAGCCAATTTTAATGAAGCATAACATAGAAGGCATACATGCAACAGTGAGTATATGTTATTATAAAAACATATATTTGCTTTAATCACGTTGTCCGAGTTCTTATGCAGAGTATTCACGAGATGACTATACCCCCTAAACGGGTCCTTATTTTTTGTAGATACATAGTGGCAGCGAAATTAATCGAGAGAATCAGCTCAGAATCAAATTTTCGACTAATGAGCTAAATCACACTGATGACTAATGTGATGCCTTTATTTCGTGTTGCTTCAGTTGGAATTGATGCGTAGTTTGGTCTCGACAGCGATTGCCAAGTTAGAAGTAGATCTTCCTCTGTTGTTAGCCGAAGACAACGAACTGCTTCTGACGCACACAATCGAAGAAGCCCTGATGTTCCACGCGGAACTTCGCGACCTCGGCTACCCCTCGCGTTTTCCCTGTATCCTCAATGTGCTCACCACCGATCGATGTTTTATTCGCTGGATTGCCCTCGAGAAGAAGTGTACGTAATGGGGACAAATCAGTTCCAGATATTATTAACTTGTATCTTAGCTTATTAATATTAGTTCCTCTCTGATGTTTGATAGTTTTTAATAGTAGTCTTTAGATATCGGTATTTGATAAAGACGATGATAAAAGCAGCTGATTATAGTTAGCTCAACTATTACTAATTGCAGAATAATTCCTGCTTTACTATTTGAAATAGGTAAAAAGTTAACTGCCTAGAAATAATCGTTGTAATCATTGCGGTTATAGTTGCCGACGAGAAGCGCGACAAACTTCTCAGTTCGCCTTCGGCTTGGACATGTCCATATTCGCCGGGAGCGGACATCGAGGCCGATCTCGAAGACCCCCTCAAGGTACAGATACCCAATTAATAATCCTTTTGTTACATAATAGACTACAACCTAGCGTACTAAATGATCAACTGACGCTCGGCCCATCGGGCTTATGAGCGTAACGACTATACAGATGTTGTAAAATTATTTTTTTTCAAATGGTCCCAATCGCGACAAATTGGTTGTATAGTTATGTTGTAACAGTTGGGATCTAAGCATTATTGGATCTAACGAATGGGATATTCCACCATTTTCCTCTTCTGTATAGGTGCCCGAGTGTGCAGAAGGCTTCATGTTGTTATTGGGCGCCATGACGGAACGTTACCGACAATTGGAGAACCCCGAACACGCGCTCAAGTTTTTGTCGCTGCAGCAAATTCTGCTTGAAGACTTTCGGGTATGCCTGCTGCAGGTGCTCAATTCACGCATGGAGGCTGGCAGCCTTTACGATGTCTGCCCAGTACTAAACGCTGCACACTATGTCGTCGTTGTTCTCAATGAGTGGAGTAATCAGCTTGTAAGTAAAAATAGAAATTGCCTCGTATTAAAATTACCAACATACCCGCAGAATACATATACAATAGCAGAAAAGCTTGGTGTAACTAACATAGCATTCCGCACGTTCTTGCATAACTTGATTTGGTATTGTATTGTATGCACCTTGATTGCGTTGTAGTTCTTTATCAATCTCTTGGAAGTTTGTAGCAAGCTAGAACGGCGACGAGCGTCGTCATCTACTAAAGAAGGTGGGGGCACATCTGGGGTTGGTGGAGGTGACAGTGTGTGCTCAAGCGATGCGACAGCGCCAACGTCATCTGAATCGACGCCCGAATCGCCGTCAACAGTCGTAAACGCTCCAAACCATCGACCCTCAGAGGAGAGCGTTTTTGAACAGGCAAGTATATTGGGGAGCATACAATACACGTAGCAGCTTGCACTGATGAGGCTTTTATACAGGAAATTATAGTAAGGCTTTTCTTCCGTGGCCTTTCTAAAATTTAGAAGTTTGTAGGTACATGAGTATACCTAGAGAGTTATGTCAAAATTTGCAAAAAAAAATCGATGCTATACATCACTTTTTTTTTGTTATGGAACCATTAGGGATGACCGTTTACGTTTTGGTAATTTCATCTTTTGAGTCTAATATTTGTAATTTCCCATTTATTCATAGAACAACAACAATAATGATAATTTTTCAACGCCTTTTTAGGTAACGGGTTTACTTGAAAGATTGTACAAAGACGCAATTTTGACTATGATCGACTGTCTCCTATCCGACATCAAAGTTAAATGTCGATCGTATCATCGCGAAAAGTGAGTTTGAGATACAAAGTTGGTTCTGCTTTGCGTTACTACTACCATTAACTGGGTGGTGCAAAGGTTTATTAATTTAGTAAGACCAATAATTACAAATAGTTACTTTTTTTGGTGCATCTAAAGGTTATGTTTTCCAGAAAGAGGCCAATTACGGCCACTATCAACTGAAGCTCAAATGTCGTTTTAACGTGAAGTTGAGAGTAAAGAAAGGCTTACTGTATTGTATGTCCTCAAAAGGTTATTTTTACTTCTTTCGAGTAAACTTTTTTTTGCTTTACTTTAACGTAATGAAGACGTTTCTTCTTAATTTCCTCTTTGCAGATGGTTCCGTATGCCGACGGCCACCCAAGACGAACCGCTGGCATTGACTCCCACGGCTTTTCCAATGCTGTCCTTGCTGCAGTGTCTATTAGCAAGGCTTCACGCTGCTTTGGCGGCCCCGCTATTCGCTATGCTGTGGCAGGGTCTGGCACGTGGCCTTTCGCTCTACATATACGAGGAAGTGATACTCGAAAACTATTTCTCTGAAGGTGGAGCCCAGCAACTCGCTTTTGATCTCGAGGGAAATTTATTCCCGCTTTTCAGCCCCTACGTAACTGGTGGTCAACCCGAGAACTTTTTCAGAGAAGTATGTTGAAACGATCTAACCCCTTACCTCATCTGTTTATTTCAACTAGAAATGAAAATAAAAACTTTGGTAACCAGTTATGGAGAGGGTACCTTACAATGTCTTTAGGTGGAGGCAAATTTATTAAAAGTTCTTCTTGAAATACATTTCTATAAAAGATATAATGTACAATGACTCAAATGTTGTTGTCAAAAAATTATGCCCGATAACTATTTATGCTTATATATTATTATTTTTGCAATTATTAGGTTAAGGAAGCATGCATCTTGTTAAATATGCCTCGTGCTGTCGCCTGGATTCTTCAAGAAACACTTAAAACGGCCCGACTGACTGATGTCGTTCAGGTAAGTACCGGCGATATTCGACACATATGCTTGAATGAAATTTAAGACAACATTGTCTTAAGCGAAACAGGCTATCAATAAAAGCCACTCACTTTGGACTTGTTAGATAATGATTTGGAGCTTTTTATTCTAGTGGTACTGTAAAACAACTGCTCTCTCAAATAAAAGGGCGATTTCCCTTACCGCATTACTGTCCAATTAAAAAATACAATAATGATTATTTTTCTCTCCCCGGATAGCTTTTTTACATAGTTTAGTAATATTCGAATGAACAATGCTTCGTTTGACCTTGATTTTTTCAGGGAAGCGCCGCGTTGGAGGAGCAGGGTGTTACGAATTTGTCGCCGTCGCAAGCAATGCATGTTCTATCAAAGCGCAGTGATCTGTCTTCGGCTCAATAAGCAATAAATGCGAAAGCTAGAAAGCTTCATCCTATCGGTCAGGAGATCATCATATGATAATAAAAAGCATAGGATCATTTTATTGAGATAATGCAAAGTTTCTGGGGGCAAAAATATAATGTATTATAAAAAATATAAACGGTACCACGAGATTTTTCGCCTATCGTACATTCCACAATGCATTTTGTTTAACGTCTCATCCAGTTGATGATTTGAGATTCCTGTTCCACCTTGTCATTATTATTTTTCAGCACTAAATACAACACAAAACAGGTAAAAGAAAAAAAAGCAACAATTTGGTTGCTTTGATGCAGAAAGATCGAACCGTCAAATTACAGCTTTGGCATCTCGTCATTGCTTCTGGTGACTGCTAGCAGAAGAATAGCCATGAGAAATGTGAGTAGCGTAAAAAAAAACTTTAATAAAACGCTTGAGGGCGATCAAGGCTTGGAAGAAAGTTCTTGTGTATTAACGTGTTTGTGCATTTTGGCGCATCTAATACATCGACTTTTGCTAAAAGTGCTATCAACCCAGTAATATGTAGAGAAATTAAGTTTTTGTTTTTTTTCATTATGAAGCTTAATGATAACCTGTTGCACGAAAAAAATAAGAGGACGAGTAAGCTGCGGCAACTTGGAGGACTGAAGATAGTTCCCATTACGATGTACTATAAACGTTTGTTAGAGACAGACAGATAATATAATAACCAATTCATTTATGATATATGTATGAAAGCGGGTAAATTTGCAATTGGCGCGAAACATAGCATCTTGCGCAAAATTTGGCGGTAAAGGAGATATTAATAAGGCTACAACTTCTCCCTTTGTTTTTATTATTATTATGTCTCAGTAGAAGTATTGTTATTGTGCTGCTGTTACTAGCATAAAATTAGATAGACGAAAAACTGTTACTGTTTACTGCCCAAACGATATCGATGTCAAGGATAAGGACACTGATGATAAATATTCGACTGTATGAACTTCGTTTTGTCCAATGAGAATCGGGTGCCGATCTGCTGAGTGCTCGAAGACGTCGTAAGATGCCTCGGAGGAACCCAGCATCCTAGCCGTTAATAGTGAGAAATATATTAAACATAAACATAGCAGTAAAAAGAAAAAAAAACACGAAATAAACGCAAGCGTACAGAACACGACTAGAAACGGTAGAGCGCTAATTTAAGCCGAGACAAAATTAGATAGAAATAGCATTTCGCAATTGAATTTGTAGCAGGTGGATTTGCTCGGCAATTTTGTTCTGCTAGAATGCGTGGTGCCGGTGTTTATTGATGATCACAATTACTATTACTAGTACTTATAAAAATATCAGTAGTAATGCTGGTAATTTTCCCAACTTTTCAGGTGCGTGAGATATAAGGTTTTATTGATGAATAGCCACAAAATGGATGACGACGTCGTTGCTATTACCGAACACTGAGCACAAATAGTAACACTGTACTAGTAGTACTAATAGTGACTGTTATCTCCGCGCTGACTGGCGGTCTGTGATTGTTATTTCTTGTACAATATTTTAGTAATATTTTGAATTTTCATTTTCTCAGTTAACATTCGAATGCGATTCACGCATTGAAATTTACAACTCAAAGCAGCAGAGCAGGCTGTGTTGCCAGAGTCGTGCAGCATTATATACCAGCAAATATTATGACATGCAACAACAACATCAGTTCTAATTTAATTATATCTACGATTATAATAAATTATAATAATATTTTATAATAAAACAATATCTATGATTAATATAATAATATGATATCTACGTAATATAATTAAATAATAAAAATTATATCTACGATTCATCAATAAAAACATACATGGAATTAGCTATACAACAACGTTAATACAAAACAAGCATTTGAGAAAGTGATGTTTCTTACAACCCGTTATTAGCAGTCCTTGTAGCTACCGTACCCCTCCTACTAACCATTACTACAAGTATTACGAATATTTATTAAGAATAGGCCTTCACAAGGAAGTATGGTATGTAGACGATCAGCTAGTGCATAACTGCGTTGTGCAGAAAAGATTTTGAAAGATTTGCAGAAAAGATGATATTTGGCAAGTGGAGGACAAGGAAGACTAAACGAAATGAAAGGAAACAGGGTCTGAATTGATATGTGAGTCTATATTCAGGTGGTGCGAATAAATGTGTATACGTGTGTATCTCTGAAATGATATGCGAAAATAGGGACAAAACAGAAAGCAGAATAGGACATCGGGCCCTGAAAAGGCCGCCAGTCTGCTACAGTAGAAATAAAGCTAGGATATTATTCAAAGTGTTTGCCAGGAATTAAGTAAGTAAAGGCACCACAAAATGGTGTTATTAAAAATACAGCGGTGTCTCTATGATACAAATAAAAAAAAATAGCTACAAATGGGTGAGCTATTACGTATGTGCAAGAACTGAATGGTAAAGGTTCTCCCAAAGTTACAGTACTACACATCATTCAGTTCGTGAATGACCATTGTAGGATGTAATATGTAAATAAATTACATGTCGACATACAAAATCGGTTTAGTGCTTCATATTAACTTAACGTATGTCATGTATGAGATCAGGATGTATGACAGACTAAATCCGCATACTTTAATCAAACCCGATTCTAATTACAAATACACGATCTGTTATTACACTCAGCCAAACCGCTGCAACACGTATCCAGCCATATTAAATATTTCTTGAAGTATAAAATATTAGATAGTTCTTGAACATTAAAAGTTCGCTTGAACCATATCAGCGATCATGTGATTAAAAAAGATGTGGCATTTAAAAAATAGATGGCATTTACTTCATTGAGTGTCTTCTCGATCTCGTCCTATTCAGTGGACCTCTTTTTTATATTTGAAGCCTGTTTCCTTTCGCTACTGATGGCTTATTATTTTATTGAGAAGAAATTATCAGTTTTGGTAGTCACTGAAGACAAATATTCGTCTGCTACAGCCTTTCGTCAATGTTCGTGGATGCTATATATATAATGTACCCGCCAAAATCAATAAAATGAAAAACGATTAAAAACAAATCTCAAGGCACCTAGAAACTTATATTAATAACATATCATTAGACATGTATTATGTTTAAACTAAATGGAGCTGTCTCATGTTTTCAGTTAGACTTTCATAAAAGGCTAACCCGCGTAGCTGCAGCAGCTACTTTCTGGTCATAGCAGTAATTATGTGAAAAGCAGTTTTATAGTAGCCTTATTACCGAAATATCGCAGCAAGTAACCAAGTCAATCGATATTGCGCTAAACACACAATACGACTGTAATTAGCAGTACACATCCATATGTTTTTAGACTGTTGCCGAACACAAAATATTGACGCTGGATATTGCACGCCACTTCAGCAATGCGCTAAATACGGTTCTTTATTTAATGATTATATGCATTAAATATATGTGGATTCATCCACAATTATGTTATTAATCAGATTATATGAAAATAAATTTACGTGAAAAACTTCAGTATTTTAAATGCGAGGTCTTAACTTTTGCTTAAATTATTTGACAGTCTGGTTTCCTTTGGTTGAATTTCATCACACTTGAATTGCTGCAATTGTTTGGATTTGGAAGTAGGGAAAGCTTTTTAAGGGAGACCTTTGTAACTCGTTTTTGTGTACACTGGGGTTTATGCTTCCTATAGTTAGCTTTATTTTTTATTAAGCTTTAACCCAGTTGCTTTTATTCCGCCCATTAGTGACGTAAATTTAAAAACTTTGGCAGCGTTTTCAAACCTAATGCATTTTATTACATGAGTTTACGGTGTCAACCTGAAATTACGGAGGTTTTTGTTTCCCTTCTCAAATCGGTTCTACTAAGCGAATTTCCTCTACTGATTCTGTTCTATGAAAAAGATTAGTGGATTTCTTCTGTTCGTCTTTCATTATCGCATCTTCTATTTTTTATTGTTTCCTGAATTTGTTATTTGTTTGAGTTGTGCCGCAGTTCTTTGATTTTTATTATAACTGATATTGATCTATTCAATTAATAAATTCTAAGCAATACCTTAATTTAGAACGGATGAGGTTAGGCTTTAATTAATCTTAATCAAATCAATTGGCCCCTTCTTCTTTTTCGTTATTTCTATTTCCAATTCTTTGCCTTGCAGAACTACCTAATATCGTATATGTTATATCGCTTGCGTATAGAAGAATCATAGCATCACATTTAACTCACTGAATGTTTATGGTAATCTACCGAACCTAACACGAGCTTTGAGAAGCGTCGCGCTTTCCAGAAGTTTCTGAAGTTGCTGTCTATATGCAATTAGAAAAGCACAACAAGCCCATTGCGAGATTTGACGTTGAGAGCTCTCGAAGCCTTTACAAATAATTATTTCATAAGAAGACTGACATTTATTCACTAATTTTATTTACGTCGTCACTATATATGTGGATATCATCGCCTGTACTTACCAGTTACATATGAGCAGCTTGACCATGGCGTAGATTTTTTCCTTCAGCGCTTGAATAAGAACTCTGCTACAATCATAGGTACAAAATACCTGTATTTGCATTGGTATTAACCAGATTACACCAAATGATATCAGAGGGTAGGTTTGCAATCTGCGCCATGTTGTCACACTAGACATTGATCAGCAACATCGTAGAAAATCTCATCCACGCTAACAAGACTGCATTAACTAGCGTTTAGCCAAAAAAGAATCGGTATAAATAATTTATAATGGTTGCATATTAATTCATGACGGTCAATATATTAATAATCAGTGTTATCAGTTTATTTACCCGAACGTCTGAACTGTACAGTATGCTGTCTGGTTCTAGCTGACACACACTTAAGTACAACGTTTTTCATTAGGTTGTACCTTAGTAAACAATGCTAACAAGATACAACAACGAAACATGTTTAGGAACAACAAATGTTCAGGACGCGACATAACCTTACAAAGCAGTTCAACGCAATGTAAAAACGCAACCGCTTACTTTTTGCCCAAAGCAACTACAAACTCGAACTGACTGCGATAATATCTTATTAAAATTAGCTTCTCAATATTCAAAAAATTACGTAAATAGCATTTTTATTGAACATTTTTTACAGGAGTTCATGCAAAAAGCGTTTTTATCGCAAATGATTTTCATACAGGAGAGTCAGCTTTTAAAATTAACATGTTTTCACATTTCATAGAAGGACAAGGGGTAGTGTGTCCTCTGGAGCGCTTCCTGCTATCGTATATTGACCGCATGTACTTGCTGTCTTTTGAACGATCTGTATGGTACGTTAAACAACTAAACGAGACAACAAACACCAAAGGAACCTTCTATAAAATCTACGCTTGCAAATTCGATACGAGAGCAACATGGAGATTCATTGACTCAAATATAATGCACAAGTATTTAAAAATCAAACTCATACTTTCAAACTTCGAAAAGAAACTCGATCGTCACTTTTTGTCAACACAAAGTGTACTAATTGTGTATAAAAAAAAGCGAGTTCAGTTGCAATAGGGTTGCCATATATTTTGTCGGAAGTGTCAAAGTATTAGCTCATTTAAGCAGAGCGTATTTTGTTAAGTCCTCAATGTAAAGCTTCTTTGCTACAATGCAAACAACGAATAACCTATATAATTCGATGAAAAAGCAACGATAAATCGCTGTAAAAATTAGTACAGTCATTACAAATATATTTTATCCCGAGTAGAACAACCCTACGCACATCATGCTTGACACGTCGTCTGGTCACGATAACTTTATCGGAATAAAAGCTCCCCTTTCTTGAATCCAATACGTCTTGCGGTATATTATACAATTTCACTAAAGTATTATTAGCTCATTTCTTAACTTCTCAGTAGTTCGAGGACCAAACGCATCATTCACTTGGGTTAAAAAACCTTACAACTAGCGTTTTGTATAGTGATAATTTCTTTATCCTTGCATTAACAAAAGCACATATCCGTTAACAAATAACAGTGAAATCATTACCGTGGATACGATCTACCCACATTATACACGGCAAAAGGAGCAAAAGTAGGCGCACAAAAGTAAACACTCAAATATGCAATGAGGAAAATTCAAATGTTACAATTGTGAAAAGAGTAGGCCTATAATTTAAGCAGCATCTGCATAGATTACCAACCTACTTTCTTTCATACGTTCTTCCCATTTCACGTCATTCATACATCACAACCAATAGCAATGGCCAAGTAAACAAAGATGCGAGGAAGTAAATAAGACTTGAAACACGAGAATTCGGAATTACCCTTATCGCTGTAACAACACAGAATGGAGATAACAAGCCAAAAAAGCGCCTCCTCAATAGTCTTTTGCACAAATTTTGTACTGCGAACTCCGTGATTACTTAATTTTTTGGCTCTAGGTAGCCAGAAACGAAGTTCTCTGCGCCATCGTTAAGCGTTACTGCAATGAAAATTTTCAAGATCTATATTCGGGGTGTAAATTACGGGACTTATTAAAAATACAATCGGGGAATGATCGTATATAGAAACTGAGCCCGTTGAAATGTACTATTACTTTATTCCGGAAAACCGTGATATCAATCATCTCACGTAACACCCGGAAACGTCTTGTTTGCAAAGCCGAGATGACTAGAAGTAAACAGCGCTTTAAAGTACTATCTGAAAAAAGGCGACATATGAGAAAATGTGGACGTCAATAATGACAACCAAAATGACTTAAAATATATTTATTCATACAATGAACATGCGTAGCACAAGAAAAAGGTATATATACGTATATGTTACATATGTGGCTTTTTTCATGCTTTGTTTTTATAACTATAACTGAATAAAAACAGATATTTCAATTAATTGTTTTGCATGCGCTAAAAACGTCATTCTTGGGAGTCACATATACTCACTCTAGTTATTATTCACAGTGATTCCAGCTTCAATTTGGGCCTGAACTACTAACTAGCCATTTTCAAAATACTTTTTCGTTTACCAACAATTGTTATTTGAGCCAGTTGTTGCTCGTCATGGCTGGTGTATTGTTTAGCTGTAGCAAGAATTGATTTTTTGGTTTTGCGTTAAAAGTAACGGATGAACAAATGCCAGTTCCGTCAAATAGCCCGCTAACATATGTCCTAATTTAGGTGCCATACCCTATATACTTAATCGTTTATTAGGAAGAGGGGTTTGGTTAGCTTAAAGATTTTCTAACCTGGTATAAGTACAAGCTGTTAGTAACTAGTGGTAGGAGTTTCAACTGCATCTACAAATTTACTAGACGAAATAAAATCGTGTATTTGTGGCATACATACAGATTTATTTGCATTTAATGTTTAATTCGTATAATTAATGAATGATTTAACAAAGTATGAAACAAAAATTACTTTATCGTCCAAAATTAAAAATCGATAGTTCGTGCGACAAGAACGATGGCTGTCGGTGCATTGTATCTAAAGCAATAATCCGTGCTAAGATAGCTTTTAGTTAAGCTTCATGTTACATTAGTTTGTGCGTTCGCAATTTATAGAAATCGTACCTCATTCATATTTAATGATAAAAACACTTCAAAGCAACGCATCAATCAAAAAAGTTTGGCCAACCGTGATTTGAAATTTTATGGAATTACGCTTCTACTATTCCTAGAATTAATCCTTTGAGAAATAATTGATCGACCTAGCCAATAGGCGATAATCAACGTTACACATGCCATATACTAAGCCATTAGAATCAATCACCATGTCCAGTTATAATTAATTATGTCTGCATATATAGGAGTGATAGATGCTGTTCGATTATTATGGTTTGCCAGCCTGGTTGAGTCTATCAAGGTCCTATGTAATGGTTCGGAATGTTTATATTCCTCCCGATCAACTGTCTGTTGCTTGTTAAATGATTATTCCTCAAAGTCAAGATTCCGTTTACGAATTTCAGACAGGTTATCCTCGTTCTTTTCAACCTTGTAATAATGTCTCACTTCTCCAATATCATGTAGACACTTGGATAGTGCTATAACGAACGACTCATCGTGAGTAATAACTACCTGAAACGTTCATTTAACAAAAATAGCTTGCTATTATACAAAGCAGCGTTCTTGAAAGATAAGTTTTGAGCATGTCATGTTGTCAGTGTTTAAATGAAGAAACTCGTCACTTCTTTGCAAATTAAAAATCTTAGTGAATAGTTGTGAAGATTACAGCTTGTATGGAGACAACTGGAAACAAATTTTTGTATTTACATCTAACGCAATTTCCAACTTTTTGTGTAGCAATTGTGTGTACCCATGCGGATAAGACCGACTAGAACTCAAAGGAAAAGATTTGAGTAAACTAAGCTCTCCCTCGATTCTGTACTCACCATCTGGAAGTTTTTTTCAGTTTTCCGTTTTCGAACAATCTCAGCCAGAGTTTCCGCAAGACTCATCATATTTTCATGGTCTAGATTTGTTGTAGGCTCATCTAGCGCCAGCATTGCACAGCCATCACAAAAAGCCTCTGCCAGAGCCAGTCGAACTATTAGACTTGCTAGAACCTAATTATGACATTATAAATTAAAAAATGTCAATATTTCGTGAGAATTAATCATATATAAATAGACAGGGTACTCCAAAACTATACATATGTTTAGCGGGTCATAACTTTCTGATTATTCTTCATTTTTAGGAAGTTATCACCTGTAAATAATGAGCGGACCAATATTTACTTTTGAATTAAAAAGCATTTGCTTACATTGCTTTAAAATACTATTCGAAGTAAAAAATGTAGTGGATGTTAAATAACGATACTGCAGGAGCCTTAGGCAGGTCCACCTACGTGACTTATATTCACTCAAATAAAATATGATATCGAAAAGGATGCAACTTTTCAATTCAAGAATGTTCACAAAAACGTTTCGATTAAGACCAAGAACATTAAACAGCTTTACCAATCAAGAAACAGTATTAGAGAGTTATAGCGAAACACCTATTCAAAAATCGATATGACAATCAAGTCGTGAGCTTGGCATCAGCAAAATAGCCGTCAATCGCAGTTCAAGATGTTGTGATGGAAGATATACATTCCAAATTTTATCTCAAACAGGATATGCAAACTACCATCGCGATACTTGCATATATCTTAATAAGAATCTTTGAAACAGGTGGGTCAGACGAAAAGGTTCCATAGGATATACTGCCCGTTCTCTAGACTCGAAGGCAATGGATTTTCTTTTAGGAATTAAGGGATACTTTAGGAATTAAGAACTAAGTCAGAAAATCGATGACACTAAATGATTTAAAAGCCATAATTGAGCAAGAATGTGCTATAATGAAATATTTGCTTGTGAATTAATAATAATTTCAAACATCTGCAGTAAGAAAAAGTTATATATTTTATATAAATTATTTTGCAATATATATATATATATATATATATATATATATATATATATATAAATTGAAGATATAAATATTAAAACTGTATATACATTTTTTGAAACATTTCGTACACGATTATCACTATTCTTAACGAAAGTTTAATACGAACCCTTTGTCCAGCAGAACATCTTGATCGCATGTCTTGTTCAATACCACCTTGACGCTTCATAACGACTCGATATTGATAGTTTCTCTTTGTAGTCGATTTCGACGTACTACCAGTGTCTTCGTTAAACTTTATTTCGATGTTTTCAATGTCATTGCCTTTATAGACATTGATCCAAAGGTCCTATAAAACAAAGATCCCACGACAAACGAAACGAAGTTTCCATTAGCCGTACTTATCCCACTTAACTGGTAAGTTTGTTAAAGAAATGCAAATTAGGTAAAAAAAAAATAATAAATATAGATACAAAACTTACTGAGGGAGTCAAACCTATTCCATGAATTAACAAAAAAATTATGGCATAATATGGCTTAAATAAATATTTCCCGAACTAATTAAAAAGTAATGCCGAAGGTAATATTATAATTGAGGCTGCTAAGTTGATAGTGAAACGATTTATTCATGCATCCATCGACCACATTTTCCAGGTGGTAATTGAGACGGTACTTAGCCTGTTAGGATAAACCAGTCTTGCATGAATCGTGTGTTTAAATATGTCAGTGGATGCTTATAGATCTAAGCATCCACTGAGATATTTTTTCACAAGAAAGTGGAAATAGAATGAAACAAAGCCGGAGGGATTTATGTGGAGAATGCATGCCTACGAAATCGAAAGAGCGTACGTCACAGCTCCCATAATTGTTTCTAAAGAGACTTTTGAGCTGAAGGTCGTGAATCACTCCAGGCAAATGTATATATCATACAAGTCGCTTCTGGTGAAGATCTGAATTTCTTCTTTGATCAGATTTGTCAGTTAAACAAAAACGGTATAGCAATTATGCATGCCAGCTGTGGGTAGCTATAGTCGGTATATTTCCAACGCACATGAATAATTTTATTTATTAGTGACATCTTTTCCTGGTGAAAGGCGAGAATAGCCTTGTTGAGGGCGGCATATCCAATATCAATATCCCTCAAAAGTTGCTTCTCGACGAGATTCTCAGCAAGCCACTCTTTAAATTCTTTCTCGGCGGTTCCTCCAATACGTTGCGCTCTCGCCTCTTCCTCAGCCAGAGTCTGCTCTAGATTGCGAACATCCGAGGCCTTCGTTAGTTCCTGGCCTTTGAGTTCTTCATGCTGAGCTTTGATCCGCTCCAGTTTCTTCAATATACTTTCCTCGCTGGGAAATACAAGTACAACGATATTAGCGATAATCGAACCATCTTTTAATCAGAATTGCAGAAAAACGCGTGTTTCGCATGGCTTATATACCTAATTAGCGTTCGTATTACGATAGTAAAGCAGTATATTCCAAATTGTCAATCTGGTGTGCACCAAATAGGTTTTATATATTTCATCAGCGTTGTTCTAATCAGCAAATATAGAGGCTTATATTCCGTTAAATGAATAGCGCTGCTCCCTAAGAGATCACTAAGTTCTGCTGATGGCGCTGTACTATAGAACAAGAAGAAGTACATATTTTCTCGTATTTACCCAAGGTTATGATCTTCCAGTAGCTGTTTATGTTCAGTGACTTCCTTCTTAAGCACTTGAAGTTCAGCCTTCTTGTCAATTACGGCAATGTTATCGCTGAGTTCTCGCCGCCGGCTACTTTCCCTGCTAACCTCAACTTCCAGTTGTCTGGTGAGCTCTTCTTTCTCTTCATACTCGTTACGTGCTTCTTTTACAACTGACTTTTGTTTGACAACCTAAAGAATAACCAAAGGAATTCTATTCCACCCTTTCACAAAACAATCGATATGATTACCTGTTGTAGCGTAGGTAAGCTAGTAATCGTGTTGTTATGGGATATAAAATACAGTGTACTGACTTACTTCTTCTTTAGCAGCATTCATTTTATCCTTTTTACCGCTTTGCTCGTACTCTTCGAGACTCCTAAGTGCTTTACTCAGATCTTCTCGCTCCTGTTTCACTCGCAGAAGTTTTGAGCTCAGATCTTCGATCTGCCGTTCTTGTTGGCGCAATAGCTTCGAACACGAAGATTCCAATTCGTCCAGCGACTTTATCACCTTGCTTACTATAAAAAGAAACAAGCACGTTCCCTTTCTTTTTCGTTATTTCCTACAGTGCAAATAGATCATTATCTTCTCTCTATGACTGAAAAAATAAAAAATCAATTTCACTTACACTTAGCTTCAATTTCAGGCAAATCCTTATCCAATTGGACATTTTCCTTTTCAAGCTTCTCCAGTGCCTGCTTAATCTGCGTTTCTTGTCCGGCTTTATTAATTAGCTTTAACCGTGAATTTTTCGTTTCACTCAGTTTCACCTATGAAGTGCCAGTTAGAGTACCAGGCCTTTATTAGTATTCACATTCATGCATGATCAAAGCGCTGTAAGAATGTTATGGGCGATTAATTCTAACTTACTCGACGTCCTTACTCCCCGTTATTTTTATGTTATTACAAACAAAGACTAAATTATGCCATACCTGTAAATTATTCAGCTCTTGCATCTGATCCTGTTTTGATTTCCATTCTTTTTCAAGCTTTTTCCTATTCTCCTTTGCTTCATTGATGTCAACCATAACATCGTCCACATCACGACAATCCTCTGAAATGGTTTTCCAATGTTCAAATGCATTTCAAAAGTTAAGTTTTAAGCTCCAACTGACATGTTAAGCAAACCATGAACTAAAACATTTTTCCTTTAATTTAAGCAGATACTGTTTTGTACTTATATTCTGAGAATCATGGCAATGAGGTGAATAAAACATATTAGCTGAAATCGATTTAACCAAAACAGAAGTTTTCATAGGTTCAAAATACTAGTTCGTTGCACCAACATAGAGATCCGCACGGATTTGTAGTAAAGTACCTTCGAGCTCAACCTGCTCCTTCTTGAGTTCTGACCGTAAGCCATCCAGTTCTCGCACACCACTGTCATACATGTCACAGGACCCTATTTGGCTGTTGAGGGCTGCAGACATTTCGCTTTTCATTTCTAGCTGCTTCTGCAATTCTTCAATCTGTGTCGTGAGATCTCGTAACTGATCCCGTAGGCTTCTGACATGTTTTTCGAGAGCTGGAATTTGATCGTCTTCTAGTTTTACTTTTTCTTGATCATCCCTAGGGATAAAATAATACAATTTTTTATTAACCTGTTTAGATTGGCTTTAGTATTTGGTTTGTTTAAACCCCAAAACAGTAAAGCTATTCAAATTTCCATTTAGATTAGTTGGAGACTGAGTAATTTTAGGCTCTCTTGATATGATCTTTAGCTTTGAACTAAAGCAAGTATCATTCTTGCATTATCTTTCTTCACAACAATAAAAACTACCTGTTTTATGGTTGGACATAGCCTCTGGCAATATTGCTCATTGCGAACTATTGATACTGAAAGCGCTTGCAAAAAAGTAGTTAATCTCATATCGTTACATTGCAGCCACAGATAATACGGTGACCTTAAACCTAAAAATCATAATAAGCCACAAGAATGGCAACCATACAGATGCTGTCGATCGTACCGCTTAAGCAGATTGAGTGTTCCCAGCTTATCGCTAAGGTCGGTCACTTCCTTTTTTGAGCCTTCCCTAAGCTTTGGTAACTCACTCATCAACCTTTCTAGCTTACTGTCAAGATTCTTAACTTCGGAGTCCACCATCGAGCGTTCACAAAGGGGACAGCACTGCTCGCTATGGGTACGTCGTTGTTCTGCCATTTTTTTCTTATACCTGAAATATATATTCGGAATTTATTAACCAAAATCTACCAATTTGTATGGAAAACATTATAAGGAGAAACCACAGTAGCCAATAAAAGCGAGAGCCAATGAAGTATTTAAGGCGCTTTTAGTCGGGTTGTAAACGTAAAATTTTGAATTTTTATACGGTGAGAACAACCGCGTGCTTTTAAAGTAGCTAATATTTAATAAATTAGCCTAAAGTGAGAACGGCAGTTTATATTTGTTTTTATTTCTTTCAACTGACCGTGTATAGATGTGCTGTGTTCCGATAAAGATGCTATCCTGGTTGCGCATTTCGTTAAGTTGCTCTTCTGTCTCGATAATGGTTTCATCGAGCGTACGCTCTAAGCCTACTTCATCATCAATTTTGTCTCGCAGTTCTTTTAGTCGATGTTGCAACTTAGTCAACTCCTTCTCGCCCATGTCAAGCTCGGTTTGACACTGCATACCGCCATAGTAAGTTACACAAAAGCGAAAAAAGTCAGCAAATACTTTTTATGTTTGCACGTTTATGTACTCGAACTTCTTAGCACGAATTTGTCTTTGCTGGTGCATCGCGTGTACCAAAAATATCAGCTCAACGAGTAAACTTTGTCATTTGTAGAACCTTTACGCAAAACGATAAAAACGAAACGTAAACATTAAAAATAGAGAAAAAAAAAACTAGAATTTGCGATAACAATGCCGTATATTTCGAAATGACGCTACTATCATGCAACAGTTATGATAACTAAATATTAAACCTTTACCTTTGTCATTTCTCGTGTTTTTGCCTCCAGAGTTTTTCGTAATTGAGTAACCTCATCGTCAAGAGTTGATCGAGCTCCCTTTACTACGCGAGCCCATTCGTTAGAGGGAAATTGCAACTCCATTGCAGCAAACGGTTCTTTTAATTCACGTATCATCCGTAGCTTCAGGGTGTTGATAGCTTTCGCTTTCTTGCTGATCTAAAAATTTAACTGTAGCTTCAGCAGTTGACCTTAGCTTACTGATTTGTTTCCTATTTGCATTGTAAGAACAAACTAAATAATGTTATTTTCAAATATCCGAGGTATAATTTATTAAATCTACATATCAAATTATTCTAAAATAACTGTCTATGGGAGAAACTACGCTAATATATTCTCGAAATGCGTTTTGACACCATTTGATCCCGGAAAACTTGCATACTTGATTTTCAAGTGTCTTGATCTTGTTTCGTGCGGCGCTGTTTTTCGTTGCGCTGTTGAGCTCTTCGTTGAACTGGGACTCTTTGCAGGCAATATCTTCAATTTCCTGAGTCAGTTTTTCAAGGGCAGACTCACTTGTTACTTTCTTCAATCTGCGCACGATGAAAGAAACACTAATATTACATAAAAAATGCCAGCGGACTACTTGTTTCATTTCTGTCATCGAATCCTGTTCTTTCATACGCTAACCCCAACGGGATAGAAAATGCCCATATTCATTAAGCACGAAAAGCATTCAAACCAGATAAAATCATACTTTTCAACGGATTCTTTCATGTTCCTAATGTCTTCATCAAACTGGTCCATCTTAACTCCAATGGAGGCTACCTCCTTTAACTCCTGATTCTTAAGAGCCATTTCCATCATTAGCTCATCTTGTTTGTTGCGTAAGGAATCTAGCCGGGTCTATAAGTAAAAGATACAAACACAGTTGCAATACGATGATTACTATGTTTTATCGTTAAACAAGGGGTCGCAGGAGCGCAAGAAACGAAGCTTATATGTTAAATGGGCAAGACTGCCGAGTCTCAAGTTAATTCATATTCATTCACTCTTATTAATCAAATTGCTCTATTACATACCTTATAGGATGCTTTCTGTTCAGTTTCATCCCGGATTTTCGCCTGCAGTGATTCTATTTCCTTAGAAAAGTGTTTCTTCTTTGCAGCCAAATCGCCTTCCGCCTGCCACAACAAAACATGTACATACAGGCATCTGTATATATATTTCCAATTGTACAGTTTAAAAACAAAACCCTAAGCCGCGTACGTTTCGCCATACTGCTCTTTCCAAACGCCGCGTTTTTTGATCAGCCCAGGTTGAAAGCAGTGAAATTCACAAACCGTTTTGATGACTTCGTCAAGTCTGTTGACATGTCCGTCAATTCTATGTTCGGCGTAATCGTCAGATTTGATATCGACCTTAGCATCAAGCGCTCGGTTGAGCGACCGTAGGGATGCTAACATTTTTTGAATCGCTTGCTCATGCTGCCGGTATTCTCCTTCCAGACGAACTGCAAATCCATACAAAACCCACACTCCTGTCAGCAACAGTCGAACCTCTTAGTAAATCAGCCGTATTGAGACAATAATAAAGATAGATACAAACCGAGTGAGGACTCTTTTTCACGAAGTTCCGACCATTTTTTTTCGTTGGCATCCTTCATTTTACGAAGTTCAAGTTTACTTTGCTCGACTTGTTGTTTGCGATCAGCCATTCGTTGATCAAAGTTTTTAAGCTCTTCCTCAAGCTCTTCTCTTGACAAGTCCATCACTTCTTGGACGCCCTCCTGCAGCTCATCCAGTCTGTTTTTGCATGACTTGTACTCTTCAACTCGTCGCACATATTCCTGCTCAAGGGCTGCGAACTCATGATACTGCGTCCAGTTACCAATGACGAGTAGTACAGCATAGTCAAAATCATCACAGGAATAAAACAGATAATAAAATGTTCGAAAAGTAATTATCACTGATTGGTTACTCCATAGGCTCCCTCTCGTAAAGTATTTAAAGACTCACATTTGTTTAATTAAACACATGTTAACATTAAAATGCCTCACCGTCCTAGACTGTCATTAGCGGCTTATACTCGTAACTATTTCATATTGTAGCGATTTCGTCTAGCAGTTTTTAAAATGAGCTAAGAGTAAAATGCTAATATAGAGACCTATTGACTAGGAAGGAGTCCCTTAGCGACGCGACCAACAAAGGTCAACTATAGCAACACGATAAGCAAAATGAAACTGCACGGTAAGTTGCAGGAAATATTTAGATTTAATAGTAATTTGAATTGTGGTTATCGACAAAGCTTTGGTACTAATAAATTCTAACCTCCCGATCAATTTTAGCTCGTTCCTTGCTGACTTCTTGCTCTTGTCGTCGCGTTGCGTCCAATTCAGCTTTCCGTTGATCCAGTCTGCTTTTCTTCGAAGTAATGGCCTGAAGATCATTTTTGTAGTTTGTTCTGAAGTGACCAAAAATGCTCTTGTTTAAAGACAAGACACCAACATTAACGCTCCATGTTCATTATTTAATGTTTTGCTATCTATACTATTGAATTTAATAGTTACGAAGAATTGCTATTAACAAAATAACATAGTTTGAGGCAAAAGTCTTTTGGCAATTCACAAAAAAGTCACTTCACAGATAAATGTTATATAGTTTATGTATACAACACACACATATACTGTGAAAACAAGAACTCTCAAACTGTCAAAAAGCCTTTTGCCCTACGCTCCATATATTCGTACATGGGCAGTTATATATATTAGCATTTCCTTAGTTAGAGTTCTTTTCTACTCACAACTTCTCCGTTATAGGCCTCCTTAAAGCCTCGAGTTCGTTCACTTTAGCTTTAACTTCCTTCTTTTCTTTGTTCAATACCTCTAGCACTTCGACGTATTTTGTCGCTGAAAATATCGCGTCAAATCGTTCCTTAAGTGCCTTGCCTGAGAAAATAAACAACAGAAATGTACGCTTTATTTAATGAAACAGTAAGGCTCATCTTACAGAAATTTTTTGACAGTTACAGACAGCGAACTAATCTATTTATCTGAAAATTCGAATGAATTAAAAAAGCGCTAAGGTGAGTTTTCACTTATTTTATATATTGGAATATAAACTATTCAGATTCAATGACAATTTAACAGAGCTTTTTAATTTGAAGTCAAGTTTGACCTTGTGTTTCACTTGACACCATGTTCCAGCTGTACAAGAATACGAGTCTGTCAGTTAATTAGCTGTAATAATCATTGATATGATGCATTAATTTCTTATTTAGCATCATTTGGAAAGACATACCTTCTCCTAGAGGCCAGTCCGATTCGGAATGATGACAGAAAATAACATTCTGCAAAACAGCTTTCGGCACACCAAGAGATTGAGACATGAAAGAGTTTACGTCGCAACATTTCGATCCCATACTCTGATTGTTTTCAAGGTTATTGATCGTCGTGTCCGTTGTGCTAAATTTAAACGTTTTGTCTTTTCGCGTTAACGCGAAAATCTTGGACACGTCGAATGACCGATCCTTTGCGTCTGTCAGTCTAGAATCAATTAAAGGAATAAAGACGATTCAGTTTTATTTGTCACATTTAGGGTTTTCCATGAGAGATTCTTTATGTGCTAGGCTCTTAGTTGGAATGCGGTTGTTATGCCTGTCATTTTCCCTATCAATAACGTACATTAACCAATCGTTTCCACCCAAAATGAGGAACCTATACAGCAAAAGTGTATCAACATAGAAAAGCGAAAAATAAACGCTACCATGCTTACTGTTATATATATATATATATATAACAACGGCTTTTGTCGTTATATTCTGTGATTCTTTTTTCACCCGCTTTAATAATATCTTTTATCAATTCTTTATCGCGTTTCTTGATCCATTGTAAGATTCGGTCTATAGAAGCGGAGTGCAGCACAACTATGAGAAAGCTATATATACTATTTGTAGACACCGGACACTTGTTAAGTGCGAACTCATTAAATGCGACACCATCTGCGAAAATATGACCCGGAACGGTGTATTTTTGAGAACCTGCTGTAATGCTCATTGTTATGTTACAAATGCAAAACTTAGGTGTTCTAGCAAAATGAAATTTTAGAAAAGTGTATACCTCATCTCGATTTTCGCGTGAGTGGTCGCCTTGCCCGATAGAGAGGGGTCATGAATGAAGCACTGCCCCTGACCTGGTGGCATATCGCTCGTGGTCATCATCCGAAGGCACTCAATTATGGTAGACTTTCCTGCTCCATTGTGACCAAGAATAAGCGTCAGAGGCGGAGTAAACGTAATCCGCTACAACATGCAAAATTTATGTTAATATCAAGTATATGTGCAGAGCAATTTGCTTAGAAAATGAAGAACCGCTTACGCTTATGGCTAATTTTTCACAGGCTACTATAGCATATACTTTAATTTAATACAAAACATCGAGTCTTCGACGGCTTGAACACAATCTGAAATCGTGTTTATGCGCTGGACAATTGTCAAGACATAGCTGTCACAAAAGAGCAACAACACAGCCTGCTATTGATGAACATTTTTCATTCTCTTTTGAAGGCCGTTGGTTACTTTTAGCTTTACACCAGAAAACTAAGAACACGGCTGGTTTTAGCAGATGCGTAGTTCCGCTTTCATCCACGACTCGCACTTCACGCCCACTTTAGCACTGGCGGCGCAAAAGTTAATAAGTTAGTTAATCAATAGCTATCGGTGAGTACATATAACATGTGAATATATCTTGTGATAAAGTGTTTATTCTTTGTCGTAACTTAACAATACTATTCATTAATTATATTAATAGTATTTCTTAATGCTCATCTAACACTTAGCTATTACGATCATTCAGGCTGTGCGTTTTACAAGTCCTTAAGGACACAAGCAGGAGTGTATCGCCAACGGATGAGGGATTAGACATAAAGCGTATACAATTATCATCCTACAGTAATTTCAAAACTCTAGCCACAGAAAAAAATTTTTCGTTGGGTTGCCAAATCAATAACTTCAGCTAAAGAAATCTATTTGTATAAAGCGCTCCTTTGCACCTGTGTATCGGATTCCTCTGGTCCAAACCCGCGGATCCCGCGAATACTGAGCTTCGAAATTCGTGACATCTTCTCACAACAATTCTCCACTTTATAAAAACCACCAGCCCGTTTTATTCTGCTGCGAACTTTACCAAATATTCTTTCGAACAAGACTGAGAATAAAGAAACATTCAGTAGAACAAGCTCGCACTAATCATCTGTTGACTGAGCGCGCCAACCCGTGCCACCGAGGGTTTACCCTACGAAACGAATGAATGAATTGTCGAGTTTTGTGCAAAGTAAAAAAACAATAGAGCACTATGTCCAGTTAGTATTTTTGAGGCTGTGATATTATATACCAGTAAAAAACTTTGTAGAAAATTAAACTAGATAAGGAAATTATTGTGTAATATTTGTCAATATGAGAACTTTTGTATTACTTCGGTAGTGAGACCCAAGTATAAAATAGCTCCTCAACAGGATCCTTCTAGAAATCGCGCCCAGCTTTATATAGGAGTTAGTATCTTGTTGTCGTTTACAAATACGATAAATACTACCATGACTTTTCCCTTTGTATATGTACATATACTTACTAGCCTGTATCTATGCTGTGCCGCTTTTATTTACGCATTTTTTGAATTAGCCCGGGCGTTTGCCGAATGTTGTTCGATCAACAACAAGCCAGCTTTCTTCGATCAAAAGGAGCTAGCCATCAGCTGGGACCTAGTAAACAAAAGCTACGCTGGCGAAGTTCGTCGTGTTCGAATTATCGTGAAATGTACGGAAAAATTAGGGCTTGGCGTCGAATTTTTAGAAAATAAAATACAAATTTCTCGTTTCAGTATTCAACAGTGTCTGAAGACAGTTGACGAACACGATGAGCAAACTGTCGTCTAGCAGCAAATGATGTTTCGACCGTATTAAAATGAATCGATAAATAAACGAACAGCCCACAACGAGCCGGAGCCGCCTTGAGAAGTGAAGTTAAATTGAATGAATCTCACACCTATATTTAACCGTGCAACACCCTGTGGATAACCTTCCGAAAAGAACAAATTGCTCAAAAGAGCGAAAGATCTCATTGTATTTGCGGCACGTTCTTTACCCGGTACGTTGAGTTAAATTAATACACAAACAATAGTTGAGTTTGATAGAACTGTTTTATAAATATTTTGTACTGATTTAGAAAGGGCAATTTAATTTTGAACTTACATGTATGTAGCAAAGTGATTTATTTCTCTTCGTTTGCGTTCTTAGCATAGTGGCATAGTGTTGTTTTATTTACGAGAATAGACTGTTGACAAGATTATTACTTCACACCTAATAATAATAATAATAATACAATATTTCATAGCTAGAATTATTTTACCCGCGTTTTTTCGGAACTGATTATGCACGTTTCTCCTATGTTCTTCTAAGAGTCAATGCTTATATTTTTGCGTAAAATTAAGACATTTACTAGACACGTGGGTGTGCTTTGTCTGTGCCGTTTACTGCTAAGTATAAACGATGTTTTATGGGAAAATTTGATATTTGTTTGTTCTATTAACATAGTATTGCAATATGATATGGTTATGCATACCTTTAGAGCGAGCTTTCAAGGTTCCTCGAATGGAAAAAAAGTCAAAGAATTAGAAACCTAGGCTGTTAGTAAAATAGATCAGTAATTAACTAGATATATTTTCGTACCCCAGCCGGGTTTCCACCTTGTACAACGCGGCAGTCGTTCATAAATTAATGTGTATAATTAATGAGATTTCCTATAACTTAACTCGCTATTTGGAAGCTACATGCAATGTTTTAACATACGAATACTGTACATGCTTGATATTATTTATCATAGTAAAAGTAAGAAAATTTAAGTTCAGCTTTACTTAATTTTTTGTTTTAAAAATTAAATTAAAAAAATTCTGAACTAGTCAAATTAGAAGGTATTCGGCACTCTACGATACTACTAGCAATTACTTATTTCGTTAACCTATAATGATCATACTTATACAGGTTTCCATAATTATTATTGCAGAAACATGGGCACGTATGAGTATCTAGTAGAAAGTAATGCGTCACCGACGCTGCCCGAACGGATGCAAGAACTATACGCGGCTGGAGAGCTTATGGATACGACGCTAGTGTGCAAAAATGGTTCTGTGCGTGCACACAAGGTATACCATACATTTTCTGTTCTTAAAATTATTTAATGTTTATAAATCCTTATTAACATTGTAGATTTTCCCGCGTTTCTGGGCTGATGTTATGGGTTGGTTACAACAGGGGCAGGAATTGACCGCCATTGCCCCAGTAAGTGCCAAACCATGAACAGAATTGTTTACATAAGAGGAATGAGGACGCGAATCAATTGGATATTGAAATGAAGTGTGCGGTTCGCGCGGCTCTTTGTCTTTGACGATTACTTTATACTTTACGTCTGGCTTATTAGCGCATGAGACAGAGAGACTGTTTATAAGTCTTGTTGTCACCGCAAGTAATTGGCGTGTTGATGTAGCGTTCGGCGCGCACGACGTATGGAGGTCAGTTCTATCTAAGCCTGCTTGCCTACCTGGCAGGTGAGCTCTGGTCCAAGCAAGCACGTAGGAAACGGAAATGACCTGAGGACAAGCATAAAAGTTAAAGCGGCGTCCACCTGATATCTGCACGAGATTCGGCCATTTAAAGAAGCAAGACGTTAATCCACTGGGATGACTTTTCTGTCTTTCGTACGATCGTTTTTTGAAGGTAAACACTCAGGTGAACGAACATTTATTATACTTCAGTCATCAACTGCTCTTTGTATCTACATGTTCAGGATATAAAATGGGCCTAGTGATACTTTCACGACTCACGATCTCCATGGCCTCGCTATTTGTGGCATGGCTGGCTGACTTTTTGGTTCGATGCTTATTAACACGTAATTCGTGCGAGCGAGACACTGGATTGCTCAGGAAAAATACTCGAGGTTTTCGTTTCTTTCTTACGTATGTTGTTGTCCCCGTGATAACGCAGTGAGGAACGTGTTGGCGGGCTAAATAGAAACACGCGGTGGCCTAGATTCAACTTTGGGTATGGACACCCTTCGTCTCGCTTTAGGAGCCAGCCATCCGGAATAATGCCTAACGGCTTAAATACCGGACGTGAAATACGAAAAAATATTTTGGATTTATATGAAAATCAAAGAAGTCGTAATATCTAGCCATGGAGAACGTTTTTCCACTGCTCATGGAGTTCAATCAAGTCTGCCAGCTCTTGCAGATTTCTGTAGCTCTGCAGTATGGTGGTCGTACGGAAAGAACCGAAGGTTTCTACTTTCCCGAACCTGTTGCATAAAAGAACGAGCTTGTCTGTATTTCCATAGCAAGATAAAGTAGCACATAGAACATTGTTACGACTGGTTAACATTAACTGAAATTAAATGTATTGCAAAGTGAACAGATTTAGGAGAAAAATAATATCTCTTTTTAACTCATAGTCCCGGTCTCTGCAGCGCTTTGTGAAATATAGCGATGTTTCTGTCCTCGGGCTGTAGGTAGACAACCGAAAAAAATACGTAACGTGTAACGCTTAATTTGGCCTAGCGCTAGTTGTCTGGTAGTATGTTCGTTCTTTGTCATAATCAGATTACTGTTAGTATGTAAAGTTTAGATATTCTTTTCACTTTTTAACATGGATGCACTGTAGATTCTATTCATCAGAAATAGAGTCAGTTTTGTGCACTATGCGAATCATAAACAATTATCATGTCCAGTATTACGATACATTTAATTATGGCTTTGCGGAAAATAGGATTGGCAAGATGTTCTGTTAAAAGGTACCAGCCAGATATAGCTGGATCCGTTCAGTTGTTGAGTATCAAAAAGAAAACTATTAATATTTGTAATGCGTATTGAATTTGACAATGAGCACAGTGGCACTGTTAAAAAGATCATGTGTAAAATAAAATATTATACAGTTAAAAAAAAAACGTGCGTTACGTTTGTCGCTTTACCATTCGAACGTTCGACGGCCACTTTCTGCTGACTTCACAGATTTTAATCTATAAATTACATTTTTGCAGGTGGTGATGGCAGCGCAGAGTAAATTTTTAGAGGATGTGCTAGTTCAGCATCCTTGCAAAAGTCCTGTTATTGTTCTACTAGACCTGGACATCGACACATTACGCTGTCTTGTTGATTACATGTATCATGGAAAGGTACGTAATCATAACCAATAATACTGGCCAGCACTTCTATCAAAACTTCTATTGATGTTTCCATTGATGCATATAGAACTACGTTGACTCACCATTGACTCATTTGTTTAATCGCGCTCAAATTATTAACGTGGTGTAACTTAGCAAATTATTGCAGTCAACCCATGATAAACATTGTTTGCAGGTGGCGATTAAAGCATCGATATTTGAGGATTTTGTTAAAGCCGCAAATGTCCTGCGATTGGTGAGTATTATTCGTGGCCCGGAGGGACACGATGAGGAGACCGATGTAAGTGGGCAAACCGTCAGTACTCAACTAGAAAGCTGCAGCAGAAGTGATGCGAATTCGTTTGAAGGCACGGTTTGTCACGTCGAAGAAATGAACAATTATGTGGATCCTGCTGATACCCCGACGAGCACAAGGGAAGCTGCGACGACTACCACAGAAGCAACTACAACGGCGAATACATCCCAACTTGAGGCATCTGGTACGTCACAGACAGCAAGGTTACAACAAACGTCGGTACACCGTGTTAATAATAAGTATCCTAATTTTTTTTCCAAACGTAAGTTTTGCGTTTGGAGCTGTATCATCGCTGCATCAACTACTAACATCTAAAACTAAATGTATTTATTTTAAAATTCAAGCCAATAGCACGCGTTCCCACATGTAGTAAGCACTTCACTATTGGCACACTATTGAGGATAAATAGTACGTATTTATAGCAAATTAAGACAGCCACCAGTAAAGTTCTGGTCGATTGAACATTCTAATTATGTCCTAATTGCAATGTTAGTGGAAAGTCGTGTTTTTCTACTTCATTTTACTCATGCGCTAGTTTGCTAAATGGCAGTAGCACGACTTTAATAAAGCATTTTCAACGAATGCTATTAGGAGTTCGTCTAAAATTCTAAAAATCTAATTGGTCTAATATAACCTTATTACTCTTCCGACTTTTGATCTTTCAGATGTAATTACAGAAGGTCAAGAACTGGTTCAAGTGCAGTCTCTGGAGGGCCATGTGCCAGAAGATTCGTTCGTCACGGATGATCTGGCAGTAGCTATCGCTCCGCCAGTAAAAAGATCTTCGGTAACGGCGTCGCACAGTGGAAGTCAACAACATTCGTCGGGGCTGCGTACCATAGTGATTTCTTCAAGAGCTAACTTCGATCAGCGGTCAACCCCACGACTGTTCACACAGCGGCCAGTGGAAAGAATGTAAGTTTACACTTAATCAAAAAATGGAAAACGTAACCTCCTTCGAATTCGGTCTTTGATATTTATTTCTGTGTCTTGAGTAAAAAAACTAAAAGGATATTCTTCGTCGATTCGATTAAATAGGAAGGTATGCACTAATGAATTTGAAGCCAGGTTCAACTGGCTATTACTGCGCTTTATACTGTTTCGTTTTATCTGTACAGTTGGTTGTATTCTTACAAGTTTCATGCTGCTGCTGTCTGCATGACGATTTTAGTAGATTGTGTCGGACGAACCAATCAAAACGGCGTCGTTTCGATGTTGTGGCGCTTCGGTCGCGACCACCGACAACCGTAGCCACGAGCGGCACTGGCGAAGTTCCTGTATCAGGACTTGGGAAGGTCATTACAATAGCTGGTACCGGACCACCATTAAGTGCAGAGGGTGCCACCTTGGCCGGTGGAGGTGCGATGAAATCAGTTCAAAACCCCAGCGCTAACAACAGTCGAAAGTGTGAGGGTCTTGCCCGCATCGAGGCAGGCCTAATTCGAGCAGAACAACGCGATGGTGGGGAATCGAATCTCGATGAATTAGTGAACGTTCACCAACAGATGGTCGTTGATAGCAACGGGGTACGAATGCATCAATGTCTGCTTTGTCCACAGACAATGGCCTTTCCGTCCAATATGAAACGACATATAATGGGTCACCTCGGCATCAAACCGTTCAAGTGTCAACATTGCGACTTTCAATCGACACTCCGAGGTGATCTCAACGTTCACATGAGAAAAAAGCACCCAAACGAGGATACGCAGCAAAATATGATTATCAGTATGAAATGACAGTAACACTGAAACAAAAACGATTTTCATAAGTTTCAGCAATGCTCTATCGGTGCTGCTTCATGCAAGCAGACTCATTATGTAAAAAAGGATAAAAATAATAATACTATAGTATTCATGGCACGATGATAAGGGACAAAAGGCGTTATATATATATATATACATGAAAACGGAAAAATGCATGTAAAAACAGGGAGCTGATTCGAGATAAATTTGGGTTGAATATCATCATGGCTAGAGGCTGTAAGCCAAACAGTGACTTAGCATATAGGGGAGCGACATCTTCATCCGTAGCTAGCCCTATTGTGTGTATATTTTCCGCCGCACGTAACATGTTTCATTAGGCCCCGTTCACCGGCAACCTTGCCACTTTAACAGCGCATGAACATGAATACTATGATCATAGTTACTACGTTGCTCTTACCCTCATGTCTCTCTCATTTCTATTAAAATTTTGCTATTGATAATTAATGCTATTTTCATTAGTTAATTTCGTCCGTCATGCTATATACCAATAAAAGTAATAGTTACTACTCTTTGAGGTAGTGTCGTAAATAAAACTTTGTAAATATACTTTGTCCTTACACGAATTAGATTTGTTGTTACTTTAGCCCCTAATCAAGATTAAAGTAAATTTTAATTATAATTACAAATCATAGGAATAAACAAAGAGTAAAATAATTTGAATTGGTCTAATCAGAGAAAACTGTTTGCAATTTCTCAGTTGGGCTAGGTTGGCGAAGTTTGAAGAAAAATAACGTTCTTCAACATTAAACAGATACCGTAGGCTTCAGCTGACATATTAATTCTTTCAAAATAATTTTTTTGAAGTTTTTCTACGTAATCAAGTATTTAATTTTAAATTGAAGTACCACCCGAAACTAAAGTAATGGCGTGATCTACAGCCTGCCGTGTGGCGCATTTAATCCTTATATGACTTCATGAGAACAATAAAGCTAGATATATCTGGACGTTGTCGTTAAAGATGATTTGAGCGAGTGGAATCTCACTTCTTCCTACACCGTTCAGTTTTTTCTCCTGTTAGCATGTAAATATCGAGTAATTTTGAAGCTACGGCCAATTTAGCCAGATATCTTTATTAGATTGTTGAACCTAACAAACGAGAAACTGTATGTGCTCCGATTAAATCTAGAGATTCCCTGACTTCATGAACTTAACGAGGTATTATCCTTTGGCCTTTTGGCAGTACTCATTGCTTATACGGAATATCGCTTTCTGGGTGTTCCACATATTACTTCGGTAATACACAGACTGAAAAATCTTTTGCAGTGAGTGGTGTTAGCGCTTGCAACAAAACGCAATTACGGCTCAGGTAAGTCATACAGGTTATGTTTTGTAACTTCATGCGGTGTCAAACCTTAGTCCACTACCCGTTCTTAGAACTTCAGGAAATGATATCGCACAAAACCTCTCTTATGAAAACAACATAGATCTAAAACGTGACAATGTGAAAAATACCATTTTCGTCACAGTCTGTTTATATAACATAATCGCACTAGTAGATATCTTCTAATTGAGAAATGGTATAAATGTACGAATGAATTCGGATAGAAAGTACACGCACAGTACTAAGAAATCTTTATTGTTAAACTCTATTCTTATATCAATAAATGTATCGATCTATTTATATTTGTAAGGTAAAGTTATCTATTCCTGTATCACATGCAATAAATTACTGTGGTCGACGTACTGCTATTACTCATTTCATCCATTCCAATCGTCATCCAAGTCAATTATTGTTGAACCTTGAAATAGCTCTTTTATGCGGCAAGTATCGAACACGAGCTCGCAGTTATTACATGTAGAATCTTAGGTCTACGCTAATCTGGGCTTTCTGGCTCGACACGAGCTGGTCCATTTTAATTGATAATAATAATAACAATAATAATAACTATACTAATAGTTTCCACTATTCTTTAACGCAAGTACACAATTTTTCCGATAAGCATTCAGTTGTTATTTTTTGTAACGTCTTCATCAAAAAATGGCTACTGCCGTATTATTATCGCTAATTTTAATTATACTAATCATAATTAGCCATTTTTAACGCAGGCGCGGATTTTGCACGTAGTAATAACATCCAAATACTTAAAAATGACTCGATAACTTAATATGGTGGCGAGGTTGATATGAGCAGATTATAAATGATTTAAGACTGAGGAGTGATAAACGAGTCCAGCTAACGATGAAATGGACGATCTCGATTAACTCGGACTCGAACAGCAACTTGAAGAACAAGTGTAAAGAACGCGTCGTTCTTTCCAAAATATTTTCTGTCTTGGATCACCTACTGTTTTGCCCCTCTGACCGTTCGCTGCTTATTCATATTTGAAAGCATCAACGAGATATACGATGTTAATAGGTCGTCCATTTTATAACCCTGAAAAAGCATGACAGATCAAAGTAAAACTCAAGTTAGATGTCGGATGACATAACTATAATAAGGCTCCGTTGAAACTGCAATGCATGCTAGAAGAACTTGTGCAGGTGGTCTTGTTAGAGGAAAAGCAGGTCAGAAAACTGATTTTAGCGATAATTATAATATATCTCCCCGATGTAACATTTAGGTTTAAACGTACCAATGGCGTCTCACAGAGGAGCTTGTTTCCACGCACCAGATTACCAATGGTCATGTGGAAGTAAGTGTTTCCGCTGCTCCAATTCGAGATGCGCGTGAATGGATGCGTAGCAAGAATGTCCTTGGATGAAGGCTGAATTAACGAAACGCCGTGTCGATTAATGGCAACCAGAAGCTGATCCGGTAAGGATGTGTCCGTTGTTTGCTTTACTTCGAAAAAGGCCGAACCGAATGTTGGCCACTGATAGATATGCTGTAAGAAGGCTACTTTTGCATCCTCGGCTGTCATGTTTGTGGGTAGGCGTGCTAGTTGAGCGATTATGGCGCGCTTCCAATCCGACGCTGACTGACTTTTTAGTAAATCTAGTGGGAGTAACTCACGCAATAGCGAGGGTATCGCCTGCTGTTCATTCTTCCCATCTCCGAAACGAACTCGGAACACCTAGATTCGCCGCAAAAGAAAAAACGAACATGAGCTAATGCTCATCGTATACAACATATAGTCTAGATGACACAAGAAGCACAAGTTAGGTTATATATGATGCACTAACTAAATTTAAAAAGAAAAACCGGCGGAGTCAATTTTGTATAAATTACCCATAACCGTTAGCATCTTAGTATTCAAAGGTTTGGCGCGACGATCTAGTTATGTTATTTATTAGTAGGTTCTGAAACATTCCCAATTACAAATTGCTTTGAATAATGCGCCCAATTTTCTGATGAGCAATTAGGAAAATAAAGGTTAGATCTGTGAAATCGAGCTGCGTACAGAAGGTCACCAATGTACGCGCTGTACTTACGAGAGAAGCCAGGTAGGCGGCGTCCTCTCTGCTGCACTTATGATAGCCCCGAAGAAGCTTCGGCAACTCTTGATGATAGTGGAAGATTACATCGGCGTTCCGATCCTTCCCTGGTACCGTATGCGTCCATAGCTTCTTCATGAAGAACACCTGGTAGGTGAACTGAGGGATGACATCTAAAAATAACATAGTAAGGAGGTTATTAATACTTTGATTATAAACAATGGTTATATACAATTATATACAAGTGTACTATCGGAATAATCTTAATGCTTTCAAACCTGCCAATTGGTTTATGATTAGCGGATGAACAAAAATGGGCGTACGTGTCTTTCTCTTTTACAGTAGAAGCTTTCCAGCGAACGTTTTCATTGATTAAGTGCATTATTCATCATAAATCGATAACATCAGATTTTCTATACTATATGAGAGACCTTCTCACCATTTTTCGTGGGTCGCGCCTTACGTATCCAATCGGTTAGATGCCGAACGAAATCGAAGAAGAAGTCGTTTTCCGGTACACTGATAACTTTATCAGCTATCTTGACGAATAGTGAGAACCCTTCGGGCGAACGAAGGCTAAGCCGATGAGCGATGTTCGAGCAGAAGTCCTTGGCACGGGTGCCCGAGTCAACCTCGAAAGCTTCGTCGGTGTCGTCGGGGAAATAGACCTTGTGAAAGATTTGCGTCGTTTTGTGTTGGATCGCTTCAACTTCGACAAGGTGCGGGGGGTATTTCCTCTGACCGACTTTGAGCGTTTTTTGAAGCCGCTGCATAGAATCGATGGAGATAGGATGTGCGCGCGTACGAAGAAATGCTGTCAGCTCCTAGACAAAGATATCATATGGAGGTGATTGGGTTACGAAACCAGAATTCAAACCCTCTGAGAGGTTATATTGATGGCAGACCACAAAAGTTTGAGTGAAATAAATTACAAAACTTAAAAAAAGGTGAGTAAGTAAGCACACAACTACTTTGTTTCGCTAAGCTTTGCAAGAAGAAGATTTTAAGGACTAACAGATAGCGTCAAAAGTGTTACAGATGTGAAATTGTTGTCATGGCATGTTATAGCATTGCTATTCAATTTCTGTCTAAGATGTTCAACTTCAATCTGGTGAGACGATAAATGTTTACTTCATACACATGTTGCGATTGTATTGGTAATAATTTCATATGCTGTTGATAACACATTTGTACTGGTAATTACATCTTAGTAAAGCATTGTTTCACCAATAATATAAATAATAAATAATACCTTTAGAAGAATCTGGCTAGGGGCAAACAGACCACTGGCTAGCCACATCAATTCCCAACCGCGTTCCTCACTAATTCTGTTCTTGTTGTCCGTCAACTGCTTCATGATCTGACAATAAATCTCATCACGCAGAATTTCCTGGTTAAAGAAAAAAGAAAATTATATGCTAGCAGTTGCAGTAAAACAATTCTGTTAAAAATACAGTAATTCATATCAATAACAATATAAGTACTCAGTAAAGCGCCGAACTACAAACTAGGTTAAACTGTTTCGTTTATTATCGGTCAGTCCACTTTGACAATCTATACACATGGAGCTTAAGCGTTACTTATTCGATCACAAGCTTACGTGTTTAAGAGGCGCCTCAAATATCTGGTCCGTTAATTCATTTCCACTGCGACTTCTCTTCGATGGAAGGTCGCCCATGTACTTCATAAGGGCATTGTAGGCCAAACAGGCCGCTTGAGAGAGCTCTTCTTCCTTGTTCAAAAGCTTTTTCAATAGAGGTTGTTTTAGTGGTTCCCTGTGCAAAATAAAAACAATCTGTTAATTGCGACTATTATAGTATCTTTTCTCAATAAAATGAATTGATAACCTTGGCTGTATTATAGCTGCTCCCTAAATAACAGTTATACTTTAGCCATTGTTTGAATGGTTACCCATTTGTACATAACATCTTGATATGTTAGCACGGCTTTATTTCTTTCCGTATATTTCAAATCATCATGAACAAACAAAGTCACAAACAAAAAAGTCCAAATCTATTTTTGAGCAAAATCAGCGTGAATATTTCATCTCAAAGAACGGTGAAAATGTCCGAACCAAACTCAGTACGAAATGGGAGATTTAATCCGTACAATTGAGCTGACCTGATGCTCGTTTTCGCTTATAAAAAACTTTACTTTGAGAGTGTTGCGAGAGATAGCAAGCTCCTAACTGCAACATGTGAAATAAGCTAAGGCAAGACTCCGGCCAGCAACCAGCGCCCAGCTTCAAAATTCATTATGGGCTATTACAATAACGAGTTCAGACCACGGAACAAAAATCTCAAATCTCCGGAAACGAAAGTAAAAAATAATCATTGTCAGAGGTAACTGTGTAAAGGAAAGAAGCTTGCTGAATAGGTCAAGTAACCCCATAGGACAATGTTGCTTTTTATCTGCTGAGACCTGCCGCGGGCGCCGTAGCCGATTGCGTTGATTCAGAACGTGCGTCTATGGTTGTGCTATTTCATACGCTAACGACATAGCATATGCACAGTTTTTGAGGGCTTTGTTTGCTAAGCGACAGACGAACGCGATATCGTAGCACCGCGCCGAGAGGCTGCATGTTTTTGTTGCCTGTCACAAAAATTCGCAAATGTGGCACAGTGCCGCTATTATCAAAGTGTCAATAAAAAAACGAAGTAGCGCATCATCACAGGTCTCCTGAACTACGGCGACAGCTTTGATCATAACAGTCAGCATCAGATCACCCTGCGATTCGCTTCACAACAAAACGGTTACTGAACGTAACGGAACGGCAAACTCATCGCGCAACATCAGCAGTAACAAATGTAACCGCAATAACATGACAAATAATAGTTTAAAATGATCATATAAAGCACCAACTCAAAATTATGATAGTGAACATGATGAGATTAACGATAATGACCGTAATCTTGATGATCGTAAGTGGATGGGAATTATCACCGACCAAAATAGACGAATGTTACCACAACCGCAATAGTATTGCTAGCTGCTATTGTGCTACAAAGAATCACGTCTTTGTGCTTTAGCTGCTTGAAACTGAAAAGAGACAGCACGTAGCAAATTGACAACAGAAACAGAGCGTATCAATTATCGGCGTTGAAGTTTGAAGCAGTACCGGCAGTAGTAATATATATATATATATATATATATGTATATATCGAAAGGATGTTCGACTTCTGTTATCAGATGGAAATCAAATAAGCCTGTCTATATGTAATTATATATCATGAATTACTTTTGTCAATTTATTTGGCGTCAAAAAACAAATTTTCGCGGAAAGAAACGCGGACGCAGGCGGAAAAGTGTGTGGGGCGATTTATATTTTTTTCAAATTTAATTGTATTTATTTTTATTATTGATTTAGGTTTATAATAAGAGAAAAATCGACACGTTCTTTGATGTCCCTGAAGATAAAATAGCTCGTGATCGCTTACTTTATGTTGGTGTCATCTGTTTTCACACGTTTGTTAACGTCATTAGAAACAACCGTAACAACAAAAGATTTATTTACTTCGCCGCTACCCCATCCTTCTCCCTCCACGTCAGAGGCGTGAACGATTATCGTTGGTCTCACGTTTTTGAAAACAATAATATTACCGTATGGTAAACAAGTGAATGAACAAAAATTTTGACACTGCTGCAGACGGAAAACCTCGTCTAGTTAGTGCTCTTATAACTAATATGATAATAATCATAGAGGGTTAGTACTATTCGTGCAACAATGAAATGTTTTCAAAATAATAATTACAGCAAGCTAAAAAATTAAAAATCATAGACTCAGTTGATCAGTTGTTGTTCTTTAGTATTCAAGTATATCAGACATAGAGCAGTGAGATTAGAGAAAAACGTACCTGGAATGCCTCCAGAGATGTTCACCGTCTCTTTTGCGTGCGGACGACAGGGTTAGTGTCAGGGTCCTCTTCGGCGGTGGCCTGAAATGATCGAGGGAGTATTCCTCAAGCGTGTGGGGCCGCTCCCCTTCGAGAGGCATTGCCGAACTGCCGTTAAGTGAGGCCTGGTACCGTTTGAGCAATTGACGTCGACCTTCTTCGTCTGCGGCAAAGAACGCTAGAATACCTGCCATCGCATCAGGGGTACGGCGGAGACATGATTTAGTTCGGTTGAACGGCGAATAAACAGTATGTAATACTAGTCACCGGCCTGACGTTTTTTGACTATGCTTCCTGCTATAAAATCGAACGTTATAGGTTTATAGTTTCATGTATTCAGTTGCTATAGTCCTGTGGGGCATGACCATTTTACCGTCAAACAACTTTAGACTCAACAATCCGGTGTTCTTTATGCTAGTCGTACCACGCGACGCTATAACACGGAAGTGCATCTGGGATTCGGTCTAACTATAGTTATTTACTTTATGATAATGCTTTCGTGTTTCTACAGTAATAACGATAATAGCTCAATAGCGGATTTTACTTTGAGGTGGCCTACTGGCGGCTGGCAAAACGTAGACGAGTTCGGTTGCAAAATCACCCCTTTCGCCCGTCCGTTCGTTGCGTCCGCTGCTCCAGTTACTCTCCAATACTTTTTCGCCGTTCACAACATCATCCAACGCTATGAGATCGCCCTGTGTGAAGGTCAAATATCCGCCTGCGTCTGACCTGGTTACAACCATCGATAACGAAATCTAAGATGTACATGGTCGTTTCGCTCAAGCCAGATCATCAATTCTATTCTATCGCAACACTGAGAAGAAGGCAATGGAATTAATTGCGTTTCGCTGTGCCGTTGCAATTTGTCATAGCTTGTTGAGCACTACGCGAAGCTTTTATATTGCATAGCAGTATGCTAGATGGTAGGTATTTATTTTACTAGTGAACGAGTGGAGCAAGCAGGTTAATATTGAACTCAATAGAGGTAGAAACTAACTTACGTCAACATGAAACTTCTATCATGGTGCTGAACGCACCTGTTGCTTTTAGTAAAAAATCACAGTACAATATAATCAGAATTATTAATCGCCTAAGATGACAGTGTATTTGTAGGTGATTTTCCCTACCTCTCAGCCTGGGCATTTCAGATACCAGAAGAATTGCAACAACTTTGTATGTAGCGTTCTATCGCGCGTACCCTTCGACGAAACAAGCTTTGCTTTTTCCGCACGGCTATTCTGTTCGATACACTAATGCCCCCCGCTAACGAGCTTTTTGGTATAGAACGGGAACGCTTTCGCCCAAATTCTTCGCTGGGACAGATACTATCGCTAAGCGTTAAGCTCATAGGCTTGATATCAGCAAAATAGAACTACCCAAGAACAGTAACGTTCATTAAGAACAACCAAGCAGTTTATTCGATATATCAAAGCCAAAATTTGGTCTCATATCTAATATGAGTTTTCTAGTGTCCTATGGCTTTTTCCTTGATGCAGACAAATCAAGTGCCGGGAAACTTCTAAATCCGATGAATCTACCTTTAAAAGAACCTCCACAAAAAATACTTGAATAAATGAAATGTTCAAGGAAAACTAGTGTATAGATTTATATATATCTGAGCGAGCACCGATTATTCACTTGTTATTTGCCCAAGGACTGTGCAAATAGTTTATTTAAAAATGTTTAGCTATACCATTGGCATGCGTGATTTGTTAAGCTCGTCTTTAGACGTTTTTTTTCTTTCGTTAGTAAAAACGTGCCGTAGAACCGGTAGAGTAGCTAGTGAATGCCAAAACAGCAATCATCGCCATCGCGAGCGACTGTCGGCTTCAAAATTGAGTGCTTTATTACCAATACATGAAAAGGGCTCGTAAAAGTTCATTTTTAATTTTTAGGTGTTATTATGAATGACTAAAAAGGAACAAGTTTCTCTTTCCGATTGAAACGTAACTTCATACAGGCACTAGCTATATGCCTATTTCGAGCAGATCTTTTTTCTTTTGCTTGTCCTACGTAGAAGTGGACTAGATAGTATGGAACCACAAAACGTAAATGGCGAGTTGCAGAAATTGAGTAAATAACGTGACCAGCAGATATGACAGATTATATGTTATACAAGGGTTTCTTGATGAGAGTTAATGAGGCTTTTGTGAGTGGCAGAGTGACTTCTTCGAAACAGAGCGAATAATTCGGCATCTGCTCTCAGTGTAACTATCCCGCTCCACTTTATTTTTTTTTTACATTTACCTATAGTCGTGGAGAGCAATGACAAACTTCGATCTTCGCTTGAGGCCGTCGAGGAATCCGTCTACCAGCTCCCGAATGTCTTCGGCGTTTGGCGACTGAAATGAGAACTCCTCACCACGAATCGTCGTTACCGAAAACGCTGCAAGATACGGCCGATTACTCCTGAAAAAAATGGTGCGATGCTTCGTAAACAGCTCCCTTTTCTCATGCGAGCCATAAAATAATGTTTATCAAACCTGTTGTCTTCATAAGAATCACAAAAGAAATGCTTTTCTAATGCTCCAGTTTATTATATCTCTGTTTCAGTTTAACAATAAGCTAATCCATTATTCCTGTAATTTGTATTTCTTGTTTAATTTCATTGCGATAAAGATATCAGCCGCATTAGAACAAATAAATCCTTTGATGTGAAAGGTGAGCGTCTAGAGGCAACTGCAATAACAGCATAGAGAAGTTTAGCGACGACTTCATCTCGGTCAGAGCCGAATTAGACAGAGCCATTTGAATCAGCGTAAATCTTTGTTCCTGCCCCATGATTACGCAATCAGACAGCATAGCGTAGTGCCACGGGGTTTTACGACACGTCATAGCGGACACAATGTTCATCTCATTGTCTCCACGCATCGATTACGAGCATCCCCTCTCTACGACTGGATGATTATTTTCACATAAATAGATGAAATAAAAATAATTTTTGATAATGTCACTTGGTACTCATTTAGATTTTTGAACAGCACGGGTTTTTTGGCTGAACTCTGTTGATGCTATATATATATATATATATATATTTTTTTTTTTTTTCTTTGTAATATCCGGCAAAGGGACCCGGGTGTTGAAGTTCTTGTCCGTTCAATATTTTATATATACATGCACTGGCATTACCCAAGTGCGACTCGAGATCTTCTCAGCCACGTCTTTCAGTAGATGGGCAACTGGGAATGGGTGATATCCTCATAAAGTCTCACCTATCTGCAGAAACTGTTAGGATAACTAATTGTCTCATTTATTGAAGCATCGAACTCTACTGACCAAATCGGTGCGCCTACGGCTTTGGAGACGTATAGAGTTCTACGTTTGATGCACAATTTTGCTCACAAAGCCGCCAAATGATAAAGGCTACTGAACTGCCGGGCTAAATACGACGTGATGAACGATGCAGCTGAAGCTAACCCTGTCAGAAAATAACATTCAAAAGTCAGATGAAGATTCTCGGCGACAAAACTCGACACGGTGATACAACGCTAAAATATATGTTGGCCGTAGATACCGTGTGTTCAATTAAAATCACACGCAGCGCATCACCTTGTCACTATTTGTTGGTAAAAATATTGACTTTTGCTATTGATTTTTATTGGTATTTTTTCATTTAAACGGATAGCAATTTCGGAAGAAATAAATGCTGCGAGTAGTCTTTTATAAAGAGCCACTTACGTTCGAGAGAAATATAATTGCCTAGATCTTTTTGAAAATATAATCGTAAAATTCGACCGGCGCTAGATACTACAAGTGATCGCTTTACCTATAAAGCTACCCTTTTTACACTCCATAAAATAGCAGGATAGGTGAATGGACAACGAGAAATCTCAAGACGGATCATTATAATGAAATCAGCCAGGCCTACACAGTTAGAGAAAACTCATTATTCGTTAAACGTTTCAACACTACATCACTAAACCGGCAATGTTGTAAAAACTCTCTATGTCTATTTTTAGTAATGTACTTATGTAATCTAACCATACCCTGCAAAAAGAGGAAAACACTAACTATACAAACAGTTGATCACTCTTTCCAAATCTACAAAAAGGTCTATGATTCCTGGCATAGATAAGCCCAAATGATACATGGTTAATAGTGAGAACTTTTAGCTCCACAGCTCGATTCCGACGAAGCGCGCGAAACTCGGAAAGACTGCGTGTAGAACTACCAATACTATCACAGGTGGTTACGTGCATCAACATGCATGTGACTGCCTGCAGGGTTGGCTCTAAAGATACGACAAATTGCATTGTATTAATTGGTTTGTTTGTCACACAGACTTTCTATTTTTTCGAAACTCGGAAGTTCACTTCTTACTCCCCATTCTGTGCTAGCTTTCTGACTTCAAGTCCTAGATTGACTTACTGAATGTTTGAGTCTGTGTGTAATATCGTCAGATATATGTATGCGCAGGCAGGGTATGTATGTATATACATATATTGCACTAGCATAGCTTACTATCTTTACTAAACAAAAAAAGGGTAGCTCCAGTAAACAAACAAAATCATCGATTTTAGCTAGTAATGGCTGGGTTTGGTTTCGTTGATGGGTCATTAATGATATCACGGTATCATAGTTGTATTGTACAGCATTTACATGTTTCCTTGCCGTTCCCGTTTCGTTCTGCTTTTTATCGCCGTCTCTACTGAATATGCGGGTTGCATCGTTCGTCGGGCTATTTTCATCGCAAAAAGGAGACCACATATAATCGCATAAAACGCTAGTTAACGGATCTCCACCCCCATCTGTTCCACTCCTTCTGCTGTTAGCACGATTTCTGAACCGTGTTTTCCGACAGCCAACTAACACGAGAGCTATTCAGTGACCTTAGGGTCTAACTGTGGTTCTAGCTACGATAGCTGCTTCTATGTATGTATCTGTCTATCTGTAGCTCATTCATGCTGTTGAAGTGTGCTCTGGACCACACCTGAATGGCTACGTGGCAGCCTTCGTGGGGCCCGTTGTCGTACCAACGTGGCTGTGCGTCCGCCCTCAACTTCGTCTCTTTCTTCTGCTTCCACTGAAATCTCACTCTGATTCAGGGAAAAACTAGGAATGGATTGAATTCTGCTTCTGAAATATCTAGCTGCGTCTAGGCGGTCCAGCTGGTAACTCGTTCACCGCCGACACCATTGCAACCGCCGTTCGTTGTTCCATGCGGAACGTCTGCCTGTCTGTCGACCCGTTGTTTGGTCGGGGTTGGCTCCTTCAATCTTTGTTGGCCACCCCAATAACTGACCACGCATCCTCTGCTAGGCACCAAATCTATCCATTTTACCGAAGTACGGAAAAACGAAACGAAGAAGTGACGAACCGACCGCTGAACGGAAGGAAAAGTAGTCCCGCCAACGGCTGCTGCAACGGCTCTTGGTGGCTGCTACCATGGCTGGACAACCGCACTTGTGGCACGGATAAATAAGCGAGTCAGTGGAACAAAAAGAAAAGAACAGCGACGAATGAAAATAGCAGCGACGACAACGAAAACTGACGAAGAATACGAAACATCCATCTTCTGCCAACTTTACCAGTTTGGCATAGATCAGCGTCAGCGCCGGCGGTTACAACCACGTCCCTAGCGCTAGCAGCAATAACGGCGGCTGTTTGAAGAACGCTCTAAGGAACGCCTTCAACGCTGGGGGGCGGACCCGCTGGTTTCACCCAAATGAGAGCTAAAGCCATCCCATGCTAAACCCGCAGCTGGCGCGCCAGATCCACTCAGAATCGCAGTGCGAAGCCGCTATGAGAGAGTAAAAGAAGGAAGAGAAAGTCCTACAAGACTGTCGCCACGACATGACAACCAGCCCTACTACCACTGAAATCTACACAACATCCCGAAGGCTACGTGTCGAACAGTGTTGTAGCTGCGGTGTTACAATGAGTAAACATTACTTACTACAATGTAGTAGCGATAGTCATATAATAATGCTACTCGGGCGCGTTGCACTGGAAAAATCATTACGCACGCTATTTCTAGTGATACTAATTTCGTTGCCGCCTCTGTTGAAGCGAGTCAATTTTTTTCTGTTTACTCTGCAGTAGCGGCGCAAATCAGTAATATAGGAGGGTCTTGTCAGGAAATGTTCAGACATTAGGTTTACGGCATAAAATTCCAGGGAAAGATAAAAAATATGCTGCAAATAGGACGGCCCAGGGAAGCCCAGCATCCTTTCTGATCTTTGGTAGTTGAAATTGGCGCTTTGCGCTGCGAGTGGCACAGTGGTCAGCTGTTGCTTAGTGGTAGCGGCCGCTGGCACAGGATGACTGACCACTGTTAACGTTCATTGATCGACTATTCATTTGAACCTATCTGCTACTAGTTGCGCCTACTACTGGAGCAGTCATCATAGCAACTTGTCAGTTTCCTGGGAGCTGCAGGGGAATTGACGGCGCCAGGGGCTCACAATGAGGGACTGGTAAAGGCTGTCGCTGTTACCCTGAATTCGGCAAGCTTTCTGCAGCTACGGCAGTGGCGGCTCCGACATCCAGCACTCGACGTGTCGTCCAGTCGAATAGCGGACGGTCGAACACCGCTAGAGGCACTTAGCCACAAGAGCAGGGAAAGTTGAAAATCATTCCAATAGCTTCTATTTTGTACCAGCTTGTGGCGTCCAATGGAACCAACATGGAAAGAGAAGTTGCTTTTTTCGTCATGGGTTATTGTGTCGTCGTGTTCTTTGGTGGCATCTTACGTAGCGATATTTTTCAAGTGGACAGGAGACAGGGATAAAAAATAGGCCAAATAAACAAAAAACAAATTCAAGCTATAGCTAATGTATCATCCATAGATGCCACCCTTCACCAAAAGTCAAACTTTTAATTGTCCATTGCTTAGTAAATGGGAGTCATCGGTTGGCATCAGCGCTACTCAGCCGTCAGCGAATTATTCGAAATGTATGTCTGAACGAATGAAACAAAAACGTTCTCTGCTCATCGAGGATAATTTAGGCTTGCCAAGCACCAGCGCAATCGACCGGAGCATCGCAGTTTTCTTATAAAACTTAGGACTTGTGAGAAGGCGAACAGTTGCCGTTCCCTCTCTCGTAGACGCAGGCATCAGTAAACCTGAACGGCGATGTCTGGGCTATGGAAAGGAACGTACTTGCACGCTGATTGAAATAGCACACTGTTTCACTGTAAATCACGCATACTCGCTCTCAACCATCAGGTAAGTGAGGATAACTTGTATAAAGGTGACCGATTTACTGCATCATCTTATGGGTATAATGATATAGTTATTATAGCACTTCGGCCCTAGTAAAGGCAAAAAAACTCCCCCGATGTCTGAATGCAAACATTGCAGCACTAGCTGGCCACCTTGTTCATTTAACAGCTAAAGGGTACGGAGTTTGTTATCTAGAGCGAGACTTCAGCCAGTAAATAATGTTACAGAAAGCGTGGTCTCTTCC